TTGGAAGAACGGGGAATGAGCTTACGCCTTTTCGGCTCTTCTCCTGGATTCATCTATGGGCTTCTCCGTCAAACAGGTTTTTAGTGAGCCTTCTCTAACACTAAGTATAAACCATTGAAGCCCTCAGGAAGACCATTTCATTTCTTCTAATCATCGTCTTGTCGTGTATTTTCAGTGGAGTCCAAACAACTGGGTGCCCACGTCCTGGAGCTGAAGTACAAAGATGATCAAATAAAGATGTTTGTCATCCTGCCGCCATTCATCGCCCCCAACGCCATCCATGATGTCATCGACAGGCTCGACTCCGACATCCTCAAGGAGATCGTCTCTCTCAAGTCCGCTCGGTCTAGAGAGGTTCAACTCTACTTCCCAAAATTCGCTGTCGAGCTCGAAATCGAACTTCTCCATGTAAGTCCGCTCCCGGGATGTATCACGATATTCTATATCAATATGATCGTGGCTATAGCCGTAAAATGCACACCTACATTGCAATGCCCCCCCCCTCCCCCCAAGAAAACGGATCAAAATTGTGGAACCACACGAAGAGAACGAAATCACACATTGTCACCTTCCGGCCAAAGTATCACAAGCGCCATGCGACGTTCCAAAATTTCCGCCGCCATTTCATTTTTTATAGAGAAATTGCTCAATGAATTAAGCTGTCCGAAAATTTAACTGAATTTTCTTTGTGCTGCCGATGTAATTCAATGAAATTATCAAACAGATTCGACCAACAATTTCTCTAAAAAAAATGAAATTGCGGTGGAAATTTTGGAACGTCGCATGACGCTTGTGATACTATTGCAGGAAGGTGACGATATCTCTGTTTGCGACGTTGCAGTCTTCTGGTCACATTTTATTTTTTCTCTGGAAAACTAGCCTTCGTAATTTCTTGAAAACTTCTTTGATCTCTCTCCTCTGTTAGCAGAATATTCTGTATAAATGTCAAGCTATTAAGTTGGATTGTTTCTTTTAAATCAGGAGCAAAAATTTTTTAACATCATAATGGAGATACGTGGTTTTGCACTTTGGCCATCGATGTGTTTTTGAAATTTTCTGTGAATATTTTCGGATGAGTGAACAAAATTCACAACAAATTTCACGAGAAACTGTCAATTTGTTTTCTGCAAATGATATGAAAATAAATAAAACGCAAGCAAAAAGTATAATTTGCAATATCGTTACCCTTGTCATGTTTTTAATGAGAAAATTCGTCGGCCAATTGACTGCCTTGGTGTCAGCACTAGCAGGCTTGTGCCTTTTTGATGCAATGAGCAAAATTCAAGAAACTTCTTTATATGATTTTCTTGTGGAAGAATATATTCTCAGAAATGAACCGTTTCTTAATGCTTTCTCAGAATAGTGAAGGCCTTTCAGAATTAAAATGTCTGATGTATATGCTAGTGTATTTTTTATTCAAAGTCTGTGAAACCGCAATCCGGGATCTATACCACTTCATAATTTTGAAAATTGAGATTTTTGCATGTATAAAGTTTCTGCCTTAGCATCAAATGAAAATTGTCCTTGAGAAATGCGTAAAACCACATATAACGATGCCTTTACCCCTCTGCTTGCCCGTTTCGAATATAATGCCTTCAATTCGTGGCGTATGCAATTAATTGTACTTCATTTGAATGTTTAATTGCATATGTTTACAATTGAAGGCACTTCAAGTCTTCAAACATTAAAGTCATTTCTACAATAAGTTAAAAAGTCTTATTACTCCTTCTTATTTTGGAAATCATAAGTTTAGAGTACTTTCGAGCATGACCAGCCGTACATTTTCCCGACCAAAAATGAAAGAAGGTTCGATTCCTTCTCCTTGAAGGGGAGTGCGGCAAGGGCCGTTTTTGGGGCCACCCTGAATTTCCTCAATTTTACGATTTTTCGCTCGTTCAATGTCTATATTTTACGGAATACATCATTATTAGATCATTTTCGGTCTCTTTCTGAATATAGAGCTCACCTAAACATGGTCTGAACAGTGAACACCCAGTTCGGGTGAAAATGCAGGCTTGGTGGGTTTGCGGTCAGATGGCGAAAAATCGAAATCCGCATTTTTCGTCGAGGTCGGTCCTCAGTCCTAAGTTTCTGCTAGTATCAGACGCGAAAAGGGAACGAAAATAGCCTAATCATTATGCTTTTCGTAAAATCGTCACCTTCTGGCCAAAGTATCACAAGCGCCATTTACAAAGAAATTTTGGTTGAATCTTTTTGAAATTTTTCATCACTGAATTTTATCGGCAGCCTAAAGAAAATTCAGTGAAATTTTCGGACGGTTTCGTTGAACAATTTCTCTGTAAGAAAATATAATGACGGCGAAAATTTTGAAACGTCGCAGGACGCTTGTGATACCTCGGCCGAAATATGACGAAATATGAACCTTCAATGAGCAAAAAATTGTAGCGTTGAGGAAATGCCATTCGAGTGTGCCTAAAAACGGCCCTTTTTGATACCCCTTCTTTAGCCTTGAAACAATCAGGAGAAGCCCCATTTTGTAAAATTGTTCACAATGATTTAATGTCACAAAATTTATCCATTGCCGCCAAATTTATTCGACGATTTCGTTCTTTTCAACAGCATCTGTCGCAAATCGGGGCAGGAGAGGTGTTCTCAGCAGCAGGCAATTTCTCCGGTCTCGTCAAGAGCGGGAACGTGAGGTTGGGCTCGGCCCTGCACAAGGCCAAGGTGGAGGTCAACGAGAAAGGGACGAAAGCCGCCGCGGCCACCGCCGTCGTGTCCTTCCGCTCGGCCCGGCCCTTGGACTCCCTCGTCTTCAAGTGCAACCATCCCTTCGTCTACCTCATCTACGACAAGATCCAGAACGCTGTCCTATTCGCCGGTGTCTACTACTCGCCCACCAAGAACTGAGCAACCATCGGATCCAATCGGGATCAGGGCCGGATTTACATTTTTAGCGCCCTAGACTAAACTTAGGGTGGCGCCCTTAAAAGTAGGCGCTCTCGTGGGTGGTGGGGGTCCCCAGACGCCCCTTTCCTCCGGATCAGAAGGAGGATGTTAGGTGTCAGGAAAATGTTCAAATTCACCTTTTAAGAAAACGATTTTAAACAGTTTTGAGGTACGTTTACGTTTGAAAGTTGGTTTTGGAAAATAAAAAGTAACGGAAGACTCGTTAAATTGAAAAAAAAAAATAAATAAATAAATAAATTCTCAAAAATTCTACGCCCCTCAGAATGTTGCGCCTTAGGCTACAGCCTATGTAGCCTATTGGTAAATCCGGCCCTGATCGGGATCTATCATTGTTAACGACTCACCGAGATAAAACTACGATCCGTTACTGACGCAGCAAGAATAACGCAGTATGCACATTCATCAGTTCTCTTGAACGAGATTTTTTTTTCAAGACCTTCCTGGGAATTTTATGCTCCTAATTTTTCAGGAAATTTAATGGAGGGAGGGGGGCGGATACACCAATTTTTCAGAAATACGCAAGTATCTAACTAGGGATGTGGCAATGCGCGGACGATCATACAACGGTTTTACTTAAAACGTCAGCTTTATTACAGGGATACGGAACGGTGGTTTTCTGGTTAATTTACTGTAATTCTCAACGATTTTACCGTGTGTGCGTTTTCAAATATCGAGAATCAAGCACCAAAAAATAACTAATACTCACATAAAACTATTTCTATTGTAGCTCACGATGCTTTTGCTGCACTCACTCACTAACATGCAAGAGAGATGTAGCAAAATTACTGTCGAACAAATAAAGTCGAGGTCAATTGCAGTGAATTTACAGTAAATATATCGCTAAAGTACCACAAGGAGCGGCACTGCTGTAGTTTAACCGTAGTTTCTTCCTAATATTTTGGTAGCGATCTCAATGAGCTGTTTCAACGTGAAAGTTGTAATATCAATTGTGTGATTACATTGGATTTAATCCTACTACAATTGCATGAGGTTTCGCATCTTTTTGATTAGAGGAGCTAGCTTGCCGTATTCATCCATGCGAGAGAATTGTAGTTTTCTTTGCGAGAGTATTTGCGCAGTCGTTATCATGTTGCAAATATATACCTGTTTTCCAAACAAGATTATCTAAAAAAAACTGATAATAGAACACTCTTTCATTATTTATTTTTGTTTGATGAGACATACAGCTCTATGAGTGTGGATTTCTCGTGAAGTTCAGGGTTTGATGGTTGTGGAAGATTTCTCGATGGTGATTAGTAAATCGGAACGCTGTAACTATGGATGATGAGGTTGAATTTTTGGTTACGTCAATGAATTCTCCCACCTATTTTAACGGATGACAATTTCCTAAGAATACCAAACGAGACTTATCCGGAGAAAAATGGTACCAACATGGCATACGAAAAAAGGACTCACATACTCACTCAAGTTATTATTGTACAACGGAGAGACTTGCGAGAATTTAATTTATTTATATATATATTGTTTTTAATGTGCTTTACGTCTTGCATTAAGTGAAATATCTCTGTGCAATATCAATGCTCTTCTCAAAACTTGTGTTAAATCTATATTTTGTTCAGGCAATACCGAAATTTTCGGAAAGGAGCGCCAAAAGAAAAAAATCAGATTACTTATCATGATTCGTTGTGAATTATATACTAAGATTGGGGCATGTGTTTAAGTATATATTAGCACAATATTACGCTTACCTGCTCTTATATTATTTTTCATTCTTGAGAGATCTGAAGGAGTTAGTGCCTGACAGGAAATATCGTATTTAAAGGGCACCAAGAACAAATTTTAGGGAATTTTATTACCCCTTTTCACCTTCCTTTCGAGACGGGAAACATAGTTTAGACCTCCTCGGTTGTCTCATTTTTATTGGCTCTTTGCCAGTTAAGAGAGAGTTAGAGCCATAGGCGGATCCAGCAATTTGGCAACACCGGATTCCCTCCATTTAAACCCATGTTAATTAATCGATTCTCGAAGGAGCTCCTGGCCTCTCCGGGAATCGATCCATTTCCATAGGTTTCAATGGAGAAAAAACAATGTTATTACCATTTCGCTGGATCCGCCAATGGTTAGAACGTAACCAATACTGCAGCTAAAAGAGGGATAACTATTCTCGAGGGAGCAGGCAAAACCAAACGTATTTTACATATTTTTATATGATTTTTGTCAAAAAAAAATGATATTTTTTAAAAAATTTGCTTTGCTGAATTCAACATTTGTCGGAGCCAGGGAGCTCATACCGTCGCTCCTCTGACGTTTGTCTCTATTTCCACATGAGCCCCAGAAAGCATGGATTTGCATGTAAAACGGGGCTCACGTGACAATCTAGGTACGCCCTCTCGTCACAGGAACGACGATACTTCTCCTTGCGCACGATTCCCAGGATGCCGCAACGCCGAGAAGGGCTCCTGCGCCACGTTCATATCTGAAGAGTATTGAAACTGCAATGAAAGACTGTTTCCTTAAGTTTCTACTCTTCAGCCTTTACTAATATTTTCAGAGGCAATCCCTCTTTGATTCCGTACCGTATATCAGCCTCTTTGGGAAAAAACAGACTAGTCATGCATTTATTTATATTTTAAGTTATCTGTGTAAGCTAAATCTATGATGAAAAAATACATTTATGTACTTAATAAAATTTGTTGTCCTTGTTTTCATTGAAAATATTAACCCCTCGCACAAATACAGCTCTTCTTTCTACCCATAATTATCGTTTCATAAGTACCTAGGTACTTTTTGCACGCTCAATCTTTGTTGCCGCCGTAGAAAGTTCCATTGAATATTTTCCTCACAAAAATAAGAACTTGTTAAATAAATTGATAATAATATAAATAATCGTATATATAATTGAGCAATGTAAAATACTTGAAAGTTGTAACAAGACAAATAGAGAAAAAAGAGGAAACTAATAGTACAAAAAGTGAACTCAGAGATAGAGCTTTGGTCCATTATACGGATGCAACTCGATTTTTCGTTTGACTTATCCTCAGTATTATAGTGTCTAGCTTTTATTCTAGCGGGCAAAAGCAGAAGAAAAGTAGAACCATTGTAGTGTAAACTACAGAGATTACGACGACAAACTATGATTTTAGGCGCTTAAGTACTTAAATGTCCATTTCATTTTCCTACAATCCTCACTTTCTAAATACGCCCCCAAGAGGCTTTTCATGTGCACGAAAGAATTGACACTAAAGTCCATAAGTATTTTATCGAAACGATGGTCAAACTTGGAGACCAGCATTTAGATTGCGGGGTTTCAAAATTTCCCCTATATTTTATTCGTTTGAAGAAAAATGAGCCAAATGCATCGCTCGAAATTTTCGCATAATGTTCCTCAGAGAGAAAAGAATAATCACGGTGAATTTTAAGAAATCGCATTCGAGTTTCCTCATTAAATAGTATGCATGACGAACAGTCTTCGACAACTCTATCTTCTCACCGAGATGCATGGTCTCGGAATTTAGCCTGCTCTAAACACATCCAAAAAAAGGTAAAAAAGGCCGGCGTAATCTCAGAGATACAGCACACTTTCATTTTAACTCCACACCTTCTAGAAACTTTCATGAATGAGGAATAAAGAATGTCTGTAACTTTTTGACATAGTTGTCACTGAATATAGCCAATGTCATGAAAAAATTCCTATTAATCAAAGAAATGATGATTTGGGAGCAAGCTGCCTGACAATTGGATTGCATTTGCAAAAAGGAACCAAGAGCATTCCTTTGTTGCTAAGATTGTGCAACTTACATTCCTTGCAATAAAATTACTGAAACTTTGCAAAAAGTTAAATCTACTGTGGTAATTTTCGTATTAAATTTACAGTTTATTGGGAGCAAAAATAAACATTTTTTAGATGATCAGTTTATGTTTGCAAGTAAAAAAAGTTGCACAATCTTAGCGCCACTGGAATATTTGTGGTTCCTTTTTGCAGAATGCAATCCAATTGTCATTTCCGTCAAGTATTTGACTATTCGTGGGGAATTTTTCTGAAGACCTGCAGCGAGAAAAAATAAATTATTCAAAATTAACTCTCATCCTATACATATTAATGGGTACCTTACTTACCCAGATTTGTTCAATGATTCAGGAATAAGTGTAAATGTTAAATAGTGTGATCATCAAACGCCTCAAACCGATGTGAGATCGCGAAGTAACTCGTTATTTGGCAGAAACCTCTGATAAACTATGGGTATAGTTATACTAAATTCTCCTCACGCTTCTTATCAGTAATCATTAAAGCCTTTCATCAAGATCTGCGCCAAAGCCGTCCTGCTCAAAATTCGTTCTCAATGTTAGCGGCAAACGGGAGACGTTCCCGCTATTTCAAAAAATACCGCTTAATTTTAAAAAGAGGGATACGTTTAAAAGCATTTGATTGGTCAAACGCAGCGATGCTCAATGCCGAATTCTGATTGGTCTGGGTACAGCATCTTGATCAGCATAACCTAGCGGCGATTAAAGGAACTATTTATCATAACCTCCTTTTTCGGTAAATCGTTTTTTATGTATTCGTTTTTCCGTCTCTCTTTCGTTATTTAGAGGAGTTTTTACTAATTTTCTCGCTGTTTTCCATCTCCAAGAAATATTTGGAATATTTCGTGATTCTTGCTGACCATCGGTGTAAGTAAAATTTGAGTCTAGCAAATCATGTAGCCTCTTGAAGTCGTCATTCTCAAAGTCCACAAGTTGTTTACAATCCTGTGATAAAAGGTTTTGGTGGTTTTATCTCTGAAAACTTTCACAGAGGAAGTCGGCGTTTTGGATGCAGCCTCCATTTATCCCACCACATCTGGAGTTCTCTCTGAATTTGGTCAATTAGCGCACTAATCAGTTCCTGAGGCAATCTTGTGTTTCAGTGTCTTCACTTTCGCAACTCCAGGTACCTACATTTATTATCACAAGCGTGAAGAATTATAATACCAACACCTTCTGCACAATTTCTTTTTTGAACACTGTGATTTAATGTGTAACCAACGAAAACCTGACCTCTACCTCTGCACTTCAACGCTACTTCCCGAACGCCCATGCATGCTCACTGGCGACAGTCGCTAGCCTCTTGTCAAGCGAGAGGTCAACCCATAAAAGAATTCAGAATCTTATTTATTATATCTGATCAAGTTAATTTAAGAGCTTGTAAATTTCATGAATTTGTAGCACAAGTTTCTTGCCTTCATCCCTTAGTACCAGCAGAATTTAGTTTCTGCTGCTGGCCGATTTTTGCTTTGAGTCTGAAATCCTGAGGAGAGAATACTTTTGGTCGTATTTTTGTAGTCTTTCTATCAAGAATAAGGCCTTAAAGTTCATTCCAATTCACAACCGAACAAGCTGAGACTCAAGGGTAGGGTTTCTCTTTCTGCATGTAAGCGGCTGCGTAATTTCCAGTGAGTAGCCATGAAGGATCAATTGAGGGCAGTAATGATGAGAGGAGTCACGAAACAAATATAATACAGGCTTCTGCACATGATAGTAAAGAGGAAGTAACTACTACGTTAAGTGTGATGGAAGTTCCACTAGCTGATCTACTTGCGCTCATTTAGCGCAATTGGGTTTATGATTTCTCTTTTGATGACGTCACCATAGTTTGAAGTTCGACGTGAAACTATGTCAAGAGAATTGTGTTCATTTTCAGCTGGAAATAGGTATAGTTAAGGTTTAGGCTAGCAATTTTTTATAATTTGGAGTATTTCAGCATTTTAAGGTAAGTATGTGTCACAGTGTCAGTAAGTGAAAGAACAAATAGAAGCTGATATTACGGAGGAAATCCCATCTCCATGTTCTACGTGAGAGAATAAAAGTATGTATGTGAGTTGCCTAAAGTATCACTTACAAAACCCCTGAATTTGATTCAATTACAGTCTTAAGAAATGCCTCAGAGTACCACAAAATGCTCGTAACTCACTATTGCTCATTTTTTCACGCCATTCCATCTATTAGTGGAAACCGTACATATTCTCGTTTCCTTATGACAAAGTCAACACTTCCAGACCTAATATACCCACTATTTTATTTGCTTGTGTCAACTAACAATTTTATAAATCATGTTGTGCCAGAAACATGAGTACGGGTGAAGCGCAACCAATGAAAGAGGACAGTGAGGAGGAAGTGGATCGTGATTCGCCTGACACCGATCAATCAACCCAGTCAGCCGACTCCAGCGATGATGGCTTCGAATCCGATGATAGTTCAGGTACTCAAATTTGTTTTGATGACTCACAATTTTTACTTGGGGACTGGTATCTACAAAGCACTTAAATCCAATTTTGCTGCTTCAAGAAGTTTTTGCCTTTTTTGCTGATTGTTAATTGTTGCTATAAATTTAAAGCAGGGTTGCGGAAACTTCTCAAACATGTGAACATAATTGCAAAGGCTGCTCTTGAGAGACAATGGGATGGCCGGCTGGCAATAGCGTGAAGTTGTGTGTTTTTTTAAAAATTTCTATAAAATGTCAGTTTTTTGCAAAGTAGGTAGTGGCGATTTTGGAATGAAGAAAAAAATTGGGAAATATTTGGAAAATAAGGATTTTTAAAGTAAAAAAGCCAGCAAGGAAATGGGAAAACTTAGAACTCTGGACATTCCTGATTTGAAGTTTTTACTTTGCAGTTCTTAAAATTTTTCCTGCGGATCAAATCACAAGATAAGATCACATGTAAAACTCATGCGGTAGTATTTAGCGTACTGAAGAATCATTAATTTTATCAACTAAAAAATTCTGAAATACTTACCTCTTCGTTCAGTGGAACGGAAAGTAATTTTTGCGAATGCCTTTATTCTTGACTCAACAAATTTCTTTCTATTTGCATTCTTGACATGCTCCAGAGCAAAGATGTATACCTGGGAAAATTTTACTCATTTCTTCTCTTAACGCTTTTTTCAGAAATGGACAATGAAGAGAATGAAAAGCGGAGAATCGAATGCTTAGAAAATATTGCTGATATTGAACGACAGTTTACCGGACTGAGAGAACAGTAAGTGCAAATTTTGTTTTAATTTATTTTTCTTTCTTTGTTATTATTTTCCATACAATTACACAATTTGCCGGATCATGGATAGTTTTAATGGTATTTTTTCTCTTTTATTACCTACTTTTTTAAAGAAAACTAAAGTAAAAAAAGGAAGAAAAATAATCACGTATTGCTTGAAATGTTTAAATGAAATCTGTGAAGTAGAGTAATGGCATGCTCACCATTATGAGAGTTGGAATTTTTCATTCCATGGGATAGACCACCATTAAGTAAAAATTTTATCATTGAAAAAGGTTTCTCTTAAAATGTTTATTTTCTCTGTAACTCACTGCCCTTTCAACATCATGAAGTAAAATTAATGTATATGCATTAAACAAGAATCTCCATAATCCTTAACTTGTTGACTGCGTATTAACAGTTCCAAATTCAAATAAAATGCTGCTGCAAGGTTCGGGCGCAAAAGTAGTTTAGAATCTCTAAATAAAATTTGCCCATGAGGTACATAAATTTGTTCATAACTATCTTTTTTTTCTATTGCAGATTATACAGGGAGCGATTAAATCAGGTTGAGTACAAATTGAGTGAAGTTAAAATGGGCTGTGCCGTCGAGTATCTAGAGCCATTGGCAGAACTAGAAGAGAACTGTCGGATAAAAACAGAAGTTGCTGCTGTATTGAAACAATTTAGGATAAACAATATCTGCAATCAGTTTGAAGCTGAAGAGCTAGCCGCTAAACAAAATTTAGATGTAAGTGTCTTTCTTCAATGTTCTTTTTTCATTAAATAATTGTTCACCCTTTCAGTTTAACTCTACCGACCCCAAGTAAAGGAAGCTTTGCACACAATTTTCAAGTTTCCAACAAATTGAGAAACGAAAGCATTTTAAATTGTTTTGTTGAAATAACTTTGTGTTTACTAACTTTTAACAATGAACCACTAGATGAGGTGCAAGTTTGAGTAATGTGACATATGTTCTATTAAAATTTCATGTAGAAATTCATTTGTGCAACACAAATTATTGAAAATTACTCCTAACCAAGATAATAACATTTATTTAAGTATAAATTCCAACTCTCCTTTCATGAAAAATAAATAATTATCTATTTTTTTTAAATCGCTCACTAGAGGTTTCTGCAACAGTCTGTACGGAATGAAAATTGGGTGTTTTAGCTTAGCTGTTGTGCATTGTTTACTCTTTGAACAACACAGGGCCGAGTAGGAACACTGCTCGTTCAAGAAGTCTGCCAAAACCATTGCAGAGCATGTTTTGATTCTTGTTAACTCTGGTTTTTCTGGTGCGCAGGAAATTCAAATTTTTCATAACTAATGCTGAACAAAAACGTTAATGTCTTGGTTAGACGGTAATTTTATAATTTTTGTTGTGTGTATTGTGTAACATGTGAAGATTTAAAGAGGATTTATTCATCAGGAAGCTTATATTTACAAGTACATTGCTTGTCTAGTTGTTCATTGGATTAAAATCTGGAAGGAAGCAGAAAATTTCTCAACTTCAGACACAACCTGTAGTACTTGAATTCCGGTGTCATGGTGCATTTCATAGTTTTAACTTGTTCCTACTTGATTTCAGAGTGAAAGAACGCTTCTCTGGGACTCAATAAAAGAAGAACTGGAAGAGAAAATAAGGCATCTAGAGGAGGATAGGAACAATGTAGACATAAGCTCTGACCTATGGTTAGTAGAACACAGTCTACTACGCGGGAACAAGTCAAAACGTGGTGCGGCTGCAAAACAGATCTCCAACAAACCGTACGCGGACATGGTGTCGCGGCGCAAACCTGTGACCGTCACTGGCCCCTACATTGTTTATATGCTGCATGATAATGACATAATTGAAGACTGGACCATCATCAAGAAAGCTTTATCGGTCAACAAACGGAAAGAAAGCAAATATTACTAGATAAATGGTTAATCATTAGTTAAGGAAAAGTTATTCTACAGCGGGAGTATGTGTCTGTCAATAATTTCTCAGGTGGTCCTCTATAAGTTTTATCTTCAAAGCTTCTAGGACTGCAACTTGTTGTAGAAACATTTTTGTCCTCCGTTTGCAGTAGTATTTTACGCTAAAGTATTAAAGTCGTCAGTGCATCGGCTCCATTTGAAAAAAAAAGTTTTGGTCAATGCAATGAACGTAGTCAAGACCTACAGGATTTTAGATTCTCTTCAGCTTTAGAATGTTGATTATCTCTGCAAGAATCTAACATTTTTAACAGAGTAGATGTAAGCTTTTTATCATCTAAAGTAAGCATACCAAAGATAATGGGCATGAATTAGTTCTCTTGATTCGTGGAAAAAGTAATTTAATATTCTTTAATGTGTACCTAAAATCCCAACATTAAGGAATTTATCCTAGCTGTCATCATCTTCTCATGACTTAGCTGACCCTTCCTTTCCGGAGGCAGTTCGGTGCGTAACTTCTTTTTTCTTGTCCTCGTGTTAAGGAGTCCGCAACAAACCCTCCCCATCAATACTGATGAGTGATTTTTTTAGCAATGAATTTAAATATATCTTTTTAAATTATGCTCCCAGAAGGTTTTTAATTAATCATAAGAAGAGAAAACCATTTAATTAACTTTTTGTTTCGACTCATTTTCACCGAGGGTATTTTTTTTACTAGCTCAGTTTTTTATATTTTTATGGATTAAATGTAGAGAACGTGATTTATTTTCTTAATTAAGTTTCAATTAACGATGTTAAGACTTTTCAGTTGGTATCAGTGTCTGCTCTCCGGTTTTGTGAGCCAAAAATATTGAAAATAAAATAGTTATTAAAAAAGTTTTGAAATTTTTTTGTCTCCTTTGATTTTAAATCATTTTCTCTTGTATTATTGCTCAGTGAATTTTACAATTTTCAATTTTAAGTGTAAGTTGAGGCAAGGAAAAAGAAAAAAATTTCAAAACTTTACCTTGATTGCATTTTACATCAGGAAGCAATAAGTAATTCAAAAAATTAAGGAATGTTCAAATGAAAACTATGAACCCAAACTTCATTTCAAAAAGCCAATCAATTCAAGTATCGTATGAATATTATGTCGACGTACGCACATAAGTAATGAAAAACTTGTTTCTGCCTCAGTAGGTACACCAATAAATCATAATTTTTACAAATGAGTGGCTTAATATTATGAACGAAGTCTGAACCTATGCATTTCCTCACACTCATTAATAATGAGACTAGCTTTGTTGAGTTCGATTTAAAAGCTTAAACCCCTGCTCATTTACAAATCTTTTAAGAGTTGTCTAAGAACCAGAATATTCGCTTCTTTTTAATAGAATGAGAGAATTCTCTACAAATGTGGTCCGTGTCCAAAGAGTTCCGAAATATTGACTATGTGTTTCTAGATGATAATTTTTTTTATCTATCTCGCATGAAAATAAACTTGCTCCAATTTTTCAAAATGATATGCACAAAAGGAAATAACGGAATAAAGGTGTCATCATTTTTAGAAGTTGCCTCTAAAGATGTGCTGAACATTTGTCGCTATCCAACATCGGGTTTTTTATTTTTTCGCAATGGTTATTCTGGTTATCAAGTTCTCCAAACTCTGGACATGGCTGTAATGCTTCGAAAGAGAGAAAGAGAGAGAGAGAGAGGGGGGGGGGCACAAAGGAGCACCTCATATAATTCATTGAGTATAATTTGGTTCTGGTGTTTCATCAGTTATTTTAATTTTTTTGCTTATCTAATTTCGGTACTCAAAATTGCTAGATGGTAATTTAATTATATGCTCTTTATTGGCAAAAGATTGGATTAAATCATTCACAGTATCTGCTTTCTGATGAAAGTGAGAGTTTTCAATTGAAAACTAAAACTCCGCTTCATACCGCCATGTTTCAGGGTCATTTTTCTTTTGGATGGATGAAAACGAAACATAGGGCTCTTGAATTAAGGTGTCATAGCCTAATTTACCTTTTGAGGATATAGTCACTTTTTATAGATAGAAGAGCTAAAGAAAGGATTAAAAACATCTAAACTCTTGAGTACCTGCAGGGAAAATTGCTTTGTGGGAAACATTACTATATTGCACCGAATGTAAATTGAAGGTTCATTGACACCTTAAAAGCTTCAAATAAAATTGATTCAAGCACATACAATTTTTTATTATCATCAACGTTCAATTGTCTTCTGCATTTTAGGTAAAATACCCTCATGTAGAGAATCAATCGATCTCATCCTTTATCAGATTGATTATTGTTGCTGTCTTGTTGTTTTCATAAGAAAGAGTTTGATTTAATGATAGGATAGTTTTAATCTCCCATGACGTTTCAGTTTTATCAAAACTTGCTGCGCAAGCTCATGTCTCCAAACAAGTCTTTTAACTTAACAAGTTCAAAATTGACTTTTGACTTTAAAACTTTTTAATCCAAGTTCCGATTTTTACTCATAGTACACATTTCTCCCCTCTCTATTTTGTGATGAATGATACTTAATTGATTTGTGATGCTTCTGAATGGCTGTCTTGGGGTTTGAGTCCTCAGGAAAGTAACTTTTGTGTCGACATGGCAATAGGTTAGTATTTTTTCGCTCATTTTATATTCTTTTTATCTCAGGCTTACCAAAGGCAGTTAGAACTCAGTAAAATCACTTATTTTTTAGTTTGGAAAAGTTGTGGTTCCTTCAGATAACCTCTATCAATGGAGTCACTTTTTACTATGTATCACATATGAAAGGGGAGCCATATCAGAAAAATTATAAGAAGATTAGCGTCCACCTAACCAAGAGGCCCCCTGGCTGTGGCATTAATGACAGCACATCAGTTATACTTTATGTAAATGAAATATGCATGCAAAATTTTCATGTCGAATATTTCAATTAGAATTAATCGTTTCTTCAAAATGTTTTTGTTTGTATGTATGAAAGGCTACCTTACAGTATTTTACTCTTTTTTCCTCTAGCTGGTGGTGGAAAATCCATTTATCTTGAGGCGCTGGTACAGTAATTGGACTCATCCTTTGATTAGTTCTGGCTATCCATACCCTTAGATTTTAAGTTACAATACTCATCACAGCTCTACTGTCATCTCAAGTAAGTGAGCTACTCTTCAATGTTTTCCAAGGTCAAATAATGCCAATGGAATAGTTATTTGCACAAAATTAAAATTTGCAATTTGACTAATTTTTAATGGAACCTGTGATTTTGGTTAGAATAGCTGATTAACGAAAAATGAGAGTTGTATTTTGTAGTATTTTATCATCTCTTATATTGTTTAGTGATATTACCTATTGTACTTCACAGCACTCAACTTTTTATGCTGTCTTTTCAGAAATACATTTTTTGACTTCAAACTTTTTTGCAAACTCATTTAATTGGTACTTATTCAGCAATAAATGTGTCTCCGTTAGTCGTTTTTTTAAAGAATATTTTTTGACTAACTTTTTTTTTTCATTTTTCTAGGTTCAAGAATGCCAGCACTAAGGGACATGCATATCTCTCCCTCATTTGGGAATGTCCCTGCTTTGTCTCAAACTTACACTGGGTAAGAATATTTCATCATACTTTTCCTAAGTCTCATAAAATATCCTCCTATTAATCAGCATTATTTTTTTTTATGAAATCGTGAGTAATTTTGTAAGAGTCTAACTTTTGACATCAAACATCACGTGCATTTTCTTCGAGAAACGTAACCTTTTGTTTTATTCACTGAGGGTGCAATTTATATGTTCAGTACGTTTCTGTAAAGATTTGAATTAGACTGAGTTTTCAAAAGAAACGATTGATTAATTTTGTGTACTACTGTTATTATGAAAAGTAAGTACATTCTACCATAATTAATAGTCAACTAAAGTCACCTCAAGTAAGTCTTAAGCAAAATCCATCGAGCATTAATGAGTATGAAAAATTAAATCTTTAATTTTCTATTCCAGGTGTTGCCCTCGACGCTATGTGGTAGCTTTTCTAAGTTTCTTGGGATTCGCTAATATTTATACTCTCAGAGCCAATCTCAGTGTTGCAATCATAGCCATGACTAACAATCACACTAGAATAGTCGGAAATAAAACGGTAGTATCTGTGAGTAAACTATTTCTTTTTCTCTCTCTATTCTTTTTATTGTAATATTTTACTTTGATTTTAATTTTTAAAGTAAAAAGATTTTTTGAGTGCAGTAATACCTTGAATAGCTAATGAATTGTAGCAGAAGTCCAAACTAAATTCTTAAACTCCAGATAGTAAAAAATGCACAATATGTAACTTACATAGCCACTTGAAATATGTATGGATAAAACGAAAAGAAACTAAGAAAAAACAAAAGAAATAACGTATAAACGATTTTTATCGACAACTGAAGCGCTGGATAAGTGATGAGCTGATAATCGAGGTATTATTATTTTTAATAATGTATTTCATGAAAGGGGTCTTTGATCAAAAAGGAATTTTTGATTCAGCATCACTTGAATACTTTTTTACAGGCGTTTTTAGATTATTTGCCCTGAGGGTGCCCGCAATGCCATAACGCAGTTCTTGCTGAATTTTATTTTTTATTGATAATAAAAAGAAGGGTCATGTTAAGTGTGAAAATTGTACCTATTCCCAAAAAATTCACTCAACTGCTCTCCATGAACGTTGTTTCAAAGTTTTTTTCTCAGTTGCAGAATGATGAAGGTTTATTAAATTCAAGGGCTGAATTTTTATTTTACCCTTTTTGATGAATAATACATGTAGTTGTGTTTTTCACATTTACTAGTACTGAAACTTATAAAACAAACAAAATAAATGAGATTGAATGTAAGCTTTCCAGCGATCCCTATTATTTTTTCACCTTTGTCAATTACTTATTTAACATATTTTCATCAATATTCTTTTTTCAGCCTCCTGAATTCAATTGGAACATTGAAACACAAGGAATTGTCCTGAGTTCATTTTTCTGGGGATATATTGCAACTCAATTGCCCGGGGGCTACATAGCTGTCAAATTTGGTGGCAAAAGATTGCTGGGTACAGGTGTTGCTGTTACAGCCCTACTCACTATTTTCACTCCGTATTTTGTCAGAAAAAATTTCTATTTTTTGATTGCTGCACGCATCATTGAAGGTATTTTTGAGGTTTGTAACAAATTTTCTTTTTTCCAAAATTCTAGCCCCTTTCCAACGGTTAAGTAAAGAATTCTTTGATTTCCTTGCTCAAAAATAAGCGCTTTTGATCAGAGTCTCACCCTTTCTACGTTTCCCACTAGTTTAAATATTAACTTCTCTTAAAATTAATTATTCAACTATTTTTACATATCTGTCTGCTTGTAAAGCCACAAAAGATTAAAATCTGCAAGGGAAGAAGAGCTATTGTATTTTAAATAGGGTTCTTTAGGATCAGATTATCTCTCGAATGAAAAAGCGATTTTTCATTACACACAAAATATGATGATCAAAATATCACATTATAACATCATAATCAAGAGCATTCTGACTCACAGCAGTGAAATATGGCTCATCAGTAGATTGCACCCAAGCTAGAGTCTCAAGAAGAAATTGCGATTCCTTTTCCAAAGAGTGAGCGGCAGAAAGAACGCTGAGCAAAAATGTGTTCATGAAATCATGACCAAACAGCTTCTCCGGTATGGTCATATTCAAAGAATGGCAGATGGCAGGGTTGCCTAGCAAGGTTCTGGATTGGGTTCCTCCCACAAGGAAACGTAGGAAACATTTAGCTAAATCATGGATAGAGGGCATTCTATATGAAATTAAAAGATGCCATTCGCCACTCGACCTGTGTTAAGATAGGCATGTGTAGCAATTAGGTTTTGCAGAGCACTTTAAGACGCTGTAAAAAAGGTTTATATATCTGTGTGCTTGCATTTGGAAACTTCAGACCACATCAACAAGTATTTTTAATAATGAATGCTCTATTGGTGTCTTTTTAGATTTTTCTGATCAAATCCATGTTTAACAATTTGAAACAAAATTATGTGATACATTTTTCTGATTTATTATAATAATTTCACTCTGCATAGCATTGTTTGAAATTTTATTCTTTAATATTAAAATATTAACCTAACCAGTTAGTGTGTCATTTTTCATTAGCCCCTCAATTTTGCATTGTTTCAGGGAGTCTCATATCCAGCCACGCATGGACTGTGGAGTCGCTGGGCTCCGCCTGCAGAGCGATCGCGCCTGGTCTCAATATCATTTTCTGGCAGTTATTTTGGAACAGTTATTGTCATGCCTTTGTCTGGTTTCTTATCTGAGTATTTTGACTGGCCATCCATCTTTTACACTTTTGGTATGTAGGACTTTTTTTCTCTTTTTATGCCATGATTACAAAGGGCAAAAATTAGTAAGCATTTATTTTATCTCCTGATATTTTTGAGAAACGTACAATGTCTGAAATTTTACTTTATACATGATATCTACTGTGCAGAGGAAGTGCAAATACATTAAAAAACCCAGATTTATATCATACACTCTGTTTTGGAAACAGCTGTCCATTTTGGCAAGCTTCCAGGGAACGTTTTTCAAGAACTTGGAATTTTGCTCAACTTTTTCAGTTGTTTCGAATTGTTTACCAAAGGTAGTTGAAATTGCTTTCAACCATTTTTTATGGCGACAGAGTGAAGTATCACAACAGAGTGAAGTATCACAACAGATTTAAACAGAGTAAGTGAAAAAAACTTCATCAAGAAAAGAATGCTTATCGTACCTCACCAACATAAGAAGAATCTCTGTACATGTGAGTGAAATATATGTAAATGAGAGCAATTCGTTTGAAGAGTGCGAAATCAAAGTATTAATGCTGACCTTTGGCCATCTCTCAAACAAATTGCGTGGGCTTTGCATTGAAAGCTATTGAAGCCCTGATTAACAATTATTTTTAGTGATTTTTAAGCTGCTTAACAATCAAAAGAAGGGTATATCTCACGAGTGAGAACTGAATGATCATGTATAGGAAACATTATATGTAACGCTGATTCAAGCATTTCTCTGATATTCTTATATCGTCTCTTTTTTCATGATGAAGTAATGATATACAGCAAACGCAGGCAATTAAATGTCTCTCAGTATGATTTTTTTTCTTTTTTTTTTTGTCTTTCTTTAAGGTATTTTTCGCAGTAAAATGATGCTCTTTATGCAAAGAAATTAATGAAGAGTAAGCTCTGGCCCCCCTTTCTAAAGGGGGCAATTAAAGAATATTGTTTCTTTTTTGAGCTATTTCAATGTTTCTTTTTCAATTGCCTCTTTTTATGATTCGCAAAAAATGTAATACGTAGTAAAATGATCCATCAATTAATGTCACCTGATTGAGCAGCAAATGATGCCTCTGGTTTCAATCGTTATTTACAGCTTTGAGACTGTAACTGAAAGTAGTCCACTGGTGTAATAGAAAACATTATTTTACCATATTTTTTTAATCCAAGGAGTTTCTTTTTTTCTTGTTGAAAAAATATGCAACTAAAAAAGTTTCTATCCTATTTTAGGAATAGCTGCTCTCATTTGGTGTTTAATTTGGTTTGCCTGGGTGTTTGAAACCCCAAGTGAAGACCTTTTCATATCAGATTTGGAGCTGAATTATATCCAAGACTCCATTGGAAATCAAGGACATAGGGTAATTATTCTCATATTACCTTCATAGTTTCCAACTCGTTCTGATGTTTGTTTCATTTAATTGTAATTCTAATGTTTTTGTCCGGTTGTGACTTGATATGATATTCTTGAAATGACCACTTAAGACAAAACACTGCTTCATACTCCCTTGCTGTGGAAGAAAGCAGTTTTACCAAAATTGTCATTTTATTAGAGGATATTGCCAAACTTCTTGATTCAATATTAATATTTCACTCATTTTTCCGCGACTTGATATCGCAAAATTACCTCACAGAATTTAAAAGTTTGCTTGAGTAATTTGTATCAGAACTTAATTTAGATTTATTTTTACTGCACTGATGTATCCTATCTTTATTTCTCATCATTGTTTTTTTTCCTCTATGATTAAAGGGAAAAAAATTGAGGAAGATCGTGAACTCAATATACATATATAAGTACAAGATATCGATGGCCAAAATGTGATACCGTGAATCTCCCTCCATGTGTGTGATGTTGTAGACTTCCTGTCATACTTTATTTTTTCTTTGGATAATTATTCATCATAATTTCTTGAAAACTTCTGTGATTTTTCCTCTGTGTTAATAGAATATTCTGAATGAATTTCAAGCTATAAAGTTGGTTTATTTCTCTTTGGAAAAATGAAGTAGGCGTAGAAATGTTGAAACACCACAATGGATATAAGTGGTCAAGCACGTTGGCCATCAAATACTAATCATCTGAACACTCTTTCACGAAGATCTATTCTGTTCTTTGTACGATTGTACCTCTCATATGACATTTACATGCCAAATTTTTTTTTGCAATTCATTTTATCTTATGCCATTGCTTCTATGCTTACAGGCGGGCAGTATGCCATGGAAAAAGATTCTTACCTCAGCCCCAGTCTGGGCTATAGTGGCCGCTCATTACACAGAAAATTGGGGCTTCTATACAATGCTTACCGAGCTTCCGTCCTACATGGAAGGTAGTAAAGGATCTCAATTATTCAATATTTTATTTCATCCTTCCTCTTTCTTGCTCTCTTCTTAACTGATCAATAAATAACTAGAAATTAAAAGTGAAAATCTTGTTCAATGTTTCATTGGTGATGTACACTGAAACCGTTTTGGTGCAATGTAAAAAAAAAAAAATGCTGAGAACATGCCCTCTTTTAATGATGCAGTTGCTCCTTTTCTAGCTTCAGTTGGACGCCATGAAGCAAATGTCTTCTACCTATCTGCTTCAAAAGATTTAAAAGAAGCATCTGTTTACTCGCAATCATAAAATGCGGAGATACCATGTCCTTCAAATTTCTCAACGGAGGTAAATGCCTTTTGCTCAATGACATCGAGTTGATAATGTTGACCCTTAATTTTGAAACGATCCTCATTTGTTCTGTTTCGATTGATCTGGAAGCTGTGTTTTAAGTTTCCAAGGAAGCTTCTCATGAATCAAAAACTTAATAAAAAATTTGCAGACCCCTTTCAGGTTGCTCTTATTAGAAAACTATCACCTATCACCCTAAAATTTAATTTTTAATTGTCGCTTTTATGATGAATTCTTTTATGTCTTTCCAGATAGATTCAGTTTTAGTTTGAAGAGTGCAACAATACTAGAAGCACTACCATACCTTGTGGCAGGAACAATTGTCCAAATCGGCGGTTTTGTTGCAGATTGGTTGAGGGGTACAGGATTGATGACCACAACAACAGTAAGCCAATTCTTTTTTATAAACATGCCATATCGATATCGCATGGTCTGTTAGTTTACCAACAGATGTGGACCAAAAAATGAAAAAAAAAGTTTGGGAAGTAAATATTCAGTCTCCAAATGATAAATAAAGAATAATATAGGCGTGTAAAGGTAGGATCAGATGGAGAGGGGAAGTCATGGTTCAGCTGCATTATTCTCCAATGCTGATAGGTATAATAAGACCTCGATTTATCGGATTTCACGGTACCGGAGGCCGAATCCGTTAAATCGCGGAATCCGCTAAATCGCGATCCGATAATTCGAGGTCTTACTGTACTTCGATTATAAGAATTCGTTGTTGTTGCTCATCTACTTTCATGGCCGGCAATCTGAATGTTGCAGCAGTACGCTTTCTCAGCACAGAGACCCTTGTTTTCCGACTTTGCATACGCTCTACCCCTTATTCAATTTCTTTCTGTTTTTGGAGAGGAAGACAGTTATTTTCTTGCTCTGAACTGAGTCAGCATTCCCACAATGTTGAAGAAGCTTGTGAATCATTCACATACTTTCTTTGTTTTCCGATTATAACTTCTCTGTTAGCATCATTTTTGGTTGAATCTTACAGAAGCTGTAATTTCCACATCATTTTACATAGCAATCAGCTCAAAAAAAAGTGAAAATCTATGAGAGGTAGTCAGGCACATGGTTTGGTTTTTAAATAAAAAAACTAAAAAATTCTAAGCATTAAGACAATTGAAACATAAAATCGTAAACATTTAAAACACAGAAAAAAAATGTAAAGAGCGACGCCAAGAATGGCACAATTTGGGCCAGAAGGGATTTTTCTGAAACCGGGCCCAAACGATACCTTACGATACCCTAAAACTCTGGTTACAATTTTAGCTTGAGTATACGCACGGTTTTTGAGAAATGAGGGGGCAAAGTTGCCAAATCGCCATCATTCTGGACAGCATTTCTACAGCAAAAAGACGAGAAAAATGGACGAAAAAGTTACACCTTTGATGGGTTTCGGCTGTAAATGTTCTCATTGGGCCCCCAAGCATTAAACTGTGTTCAGTTTCAAAAATTTTGGTCGCACAGTGGTCCATAATGGGGAGAAATCGTCGACAAATCAGGATTCTTTGTCAATTTTTTAGAAATGGAAGTAAAATTGTCGGTCTGCTGCAGTTTTCATGGCTAACAATGTTCTTATCGGTCATCAATGCATGAAATTGTGTTCAGCTTCACAAATTCACGTCGCACAGTGGTCAAAAATGGGGGAATTAGTGGACAAATTAAGATCCTCTGTCAAACTTTTTAAAAATGAAGTGAAACTGTTGGTCCCCGGTAGACTTTAGATCCCGAAAAATCATGTTTTTAATTTTTTAAATTATTACTACATTTCAGACCGTATTGTTTATAGAACATTATTATAGAATAGACTTTGTAGCATTATCTCAATAAAATATGCAAACTTTCAGAAATTAAAAAAAAAGAAGGAAAAATGGAGAGAAAACATTAAAAAAATATTTAAATAGTCTAAAAAAGAATTTAAAGAATTTTTCCGGGATCTTAATTTGTCCACTAAATCCCCCATTTTTGACCACTGTGCGATGTGAATTTGTGAAGCTGAACACAATTTCATGCATTGACGACCGATAAGAACATTGTTAGCCATGAAAACTGCAGCAGACCGACAATTTTACCTCCATTTCTAAAAATTTGACCAAGAATCCTGATTTGTCGACGATTTCTCCCCATTATGGACCACTGTGCGACCAAAATTTTTGAAACTGAACACAGTTTAATGCTTGGGGGCCCAATGAGAACATTTACAGCCGAAACCCATCAAAGGTGTAACTTTTTCGTCCATTTTTCTCGTCTTTTTGCTGTAGAAATGCTGTCCAGAATGATGGCGATTTGGCAACTTTGCCCCCTCATTTCTCAAAAACCGTGCGTATACTCAAGCTAAAATTGTAACCAGAGTTTTAGGGTATCGTAAGGTATCGTTTGGGCCCAGTTTCAGAAAAATCCCTTCTGGCCCAAATTGTGCCAAAAAACGGTCGTTTTTGGCGTCGCTCTTTAAGTAACTGTTACTGCCAAAGGAAAAGGAACCTTTGTCAAAAAGAGTAAAAATTAAGTTATTGATACCAAAGCGTACAAATAAAAACCTGTTGTTCTTCAAACATTATTTAACGAAAAACGCCAAAAATGTCAACCACAACAGGAAATTAAATAGAACAGTTTAGACTAGCAATTAGAAATTATAGCATCTAGGTAAAGTGCGTCAAAAGCGAAACTCTATTTTCCCATGTTCAGAGCACAAATTTGGCAGATTACAATGCAATTTTATGCTCTCTAATGGCACAAAAATGAAGTAAACAGCTTGCAACTAATATTTTAGGACACTAGGAAAAATTATCCAGCAACCCCTTATAAACTTGATTTTTTTACGAGAATTGACAAAATTTGTTCCACTGAAAAGTTGACTTCGTGATCAGGGTCCCTCCTCCTTAAAGACATTGAATCACACAGACAGTGCATCAGGCTTGGTTTTGCACAGGCAAAGTGTGACAAGTTTCTCAGATCACCATGATGGCCAAGAGGGGAGGGGGAGAGAGCATGTGTCTCAAGCACTCAAAGAGACTGCAGAGAAGCAATAGAGAATCCATTAGCTCGGTTTTTCGCTAAAGTCTACAACCGAATCCCAAAGTTTCACTTTTCGGAACGAATTACCAACAGAGATAAAAGCCTCACAGTCGGACAAAAATTCACCTGGGCCGCCACTGCGCATGCGCAGGCTGTGCGGTTTGGAACACACGAACTCATTGGTGTGGGTCGGTGCGAATACTTATCGACATGTGAATTTTTAAAAGTTGTCATGCTTTCTGTAACACAGGATGCATGGTCTACGTGATTCAATGTCTTTGCTCCTCCCGTGAGAGTTACAATTAAAAAAAAAAAAAAACTGTTGAACATCAAATATATACTTAAGCAGATTTACCACAATGCTTTTAGTATTGACTTTTATCAGCTTCTTTTTTTGTACTGTCATTTTTCCTCTTTTGAATACCAAACTTCTTTGTTACATTAGGTACGAAAATCATTTATCGTATGGGGTTTCCTTGGCCAGGCCTGTTTTCTTACAAGTGCAGCGCATTCAGACAACCCAATCTCATTCATCGCCAGAATAAGTTGTGGTGTTGCGTGTGCCAAGATAGCTTGGACAGGAATTGGGTAAGATTATAAGAAATGCGTTTCAAGATTATAATGTATTACAAATGCTTTCAGTTTTTGGATTAAACATTTAAAGTCAATGCTAAAGAACTGTTCCCATAAATTATGTTCTCTTTTTTCCCTCTTATTTGAAATTTTATCTTCGTGGTCATTTTCTCTGAGACATTATTTTTTTTCACACTGATATTACAGGTCAAACACATCATCATTTGTTAACATATTTGACTTTTAAAACTGGCTGAGCCCCTGTGATCAGAAGGAAAATGTAGGTGTCATTGAAACTAAAATTACACCTTCACTTTTTTTTAATCCAATCCATCATTTTGAAATCCTTAAATATTGTTCTAACCACAAGTATTGGAATTATTTGATTTCACTCTTGGCGAGAGACAAACACAAGGAAATTGGTAAACCAGCCTAAAAACGAATACCAAAATGCCTGGGGCATTTCAGGGTGGTATTAACCCTCTTGTCAACCAGGAAACAAAAGGTTACATATGAAATTAACAAAAATAAAAAACCCAGATCTCCAGTAACTGGAAGCTTGTTACTTATTGCTTTATGTTTCTTGGATGGCAAGGGTATTGAAACCACCTTGAAACATGTTTGTCATTGTTTATCCATATTCTTTTTATTTCTACCCAAGATAGTCGGAAGACAACTGTTACTCTATAAGCAATTTTTCTTTTAATTTTAATTGAAAAGTCTTTAATCCACATCAAAATCTTAATGGAATCACCGACTTAGGCTTAATATTCAATTTGCTAAAATGTTCTGCTCTGTAAGTGATTGAGGTGCTCTTGTTATGTCTAGAGTGAATCATCTGGACATAGCTCCACCCTATGCTGGTGTGCTCATGGGTATCTCTAACACAATAGGAACTCTTGCTGGAATTATCACGCCTTCTCTCTCAGGATATCTTGTCCACAGTGATCATGTAAGTGCGCCTCCAGGCAAACTAATTTTATTTCTTCAAAGACGAATTACATCGCTACAAAAATGTCTTATTTAAGGACCATGACCTTTGATCAACTAAATTTTTTTTTTTTTTGTTCATGTATCTGACTGAAGCCAGTTCTCTAACTGAAAACAGAAAAACATACTTTCTTTAAATTTAGTACCATGTCTATCTAAAAACATTTTTTAAATATCCTTTTAAGAAAATATCTTAAACTATGGTTTTCAGAAAAGAGTTCAGGAAAAACTATTCGAAAGTTGCTTAGCTTACTTATCAAGTATTTATCTCAAGATTTGATGTTTAATTATCTTAGATGAGGAATTTTTCATTTTGACTTTATATTTTGTATTACTTTGTATTTTAGTCAATAATGGGGTGGCGTAAAGTATTTTACATCTCTGCTGGAACACATGTTGTGGGTGCTGTCATTTATTACTGCCTGGGCTCAGGAAAAATTCAGCCGTGGGCAATAGAGGAGCCGTGCATAGAGGATGTTGATGAAGAGGACGCATATGTAAACAACGACGAATCTACTCACTTAGTCCAAACAGAGATACGATAAGTGTCTGTTAGTGACATTCTTATTTCTCAATCTTTGAATTTAATTTCATTACTCATTTGAACCAAATGTTTTTTGGAAAGGTTTTTTCTTTAATAGTTAGTCATACTGCATTTATGGAGCACTAACCAAGTATCCAATTTTTTTTTCTACCGAACTTTGGTTAAAAATCTGTAAATAAAGTTTAATTTTTGAATATCTCCAAAAGGACTCAGAATTGTCAAAATGTGCTGCCCTCTGCCTTGTCTTGCTCAGCCTCCAAAAATGACAAACATGTTCCCTTGATAGTTTTATTAAAAAAGTCTTGAAGTTGGCTGTGTGTATTCTGCATGAAGTAAACATAAGTTTAAATACAATTTTTGAAGGACGGTGTTGCTGTCTTCTCACCAGTAAACAATGTCTCTTTATTAAATGCTCTCTTCTTCCATTGATCATTTTTCAAGCTGAAATGGGTTTTATAGTTCACCAGACAAAAATCTATCACTTTGTCCATCATTTAGGCAGTTTGGTACATCCAAGTACTTTTCCAAAAAAAACTTACTTTCCCTAAAAAATTTAAAAATTCTGAATTTTGTGCTGTATTCAATTGGAGGTATTGCTGAAAGTAAACAATATTGTTATTTTTCTAAACTTCAGAATCATCGCAATGGTCATCAGAATTTATAATAGAAAAATGAGAAACAGATATCAATTTTCCTATGTCCATTAGATTTATTAAAAAATTATCAATGGAATGAAGTCAATTTGATTTGCTCCTTATTTAAAGATACAAATTAAAGAACAGAAAATTTTCGAAAATATCAATTTTTTCTAATTTCAAAAGTCTCCTCATCAATTTTGCATTTTATAACCTTTTTTTAAAAAAGCGTCTAATTGATTGGTTTTCATCGACACGCGAAGGCAGAGCTCTTGATCAATTTGTGATGCTGGTGGGAGCTGGGATGAAAATAACACACCTATCGATAGTGCCTGTTGACCTACAAGGGAGGAGCAAGAAGTGAGGAGGAATTCCTGCACTTTGCCACAGTCCAAGTCTCATGGCGTCAGTGATTGATTGCTGGCATGTTGACAAAGCCCACTGACATGAAGAAAAGACTGAATCCTCTCTTCATTCCCTCCCCTCTCCCACCATTCTGACATTGATACCACTTTCCAACCTTTTCTTTTACTCGTAATGACTATCCTTCCTGAAAACATTTTCCCTCTGGAAAGCAGCATCTCCAGGTAATGGTTTTTCTTGTCTTTATTTCTTCCCCTCTCCTCTCCCACCCAGAGTGCTGGAGGAATTCCCAAATGAATTTTCCCTCCATACCAATGTGCAATTACTTTGGTGTCTTAAACAACTTTCAGCTTAATTATTTTGCAATACTGAAGATAGATTTTTTGGAAAGAGGGAGTCTCGAAGGCAAAATCTTCTCTAGATTGTAAATGAGTTGCATGCATAAAGAATGACTAGGTTTTATTTTAATAGTAAATTTAATATTCAGTTTTCAACCACAATCTTTTGGCTAGTGAAAGACAAATTTATGTTTTAATCAAATTATTTAGTAAATCGGAGTTAAATTAATCACCAAATGTATTATTTTTAACATTCTCCGTACAATCCTCAATGTTCGTAAGATTTCTAAAGATAGACTAAAATTATTGAAAATTATCTTGGCATTTTCATATTTCTTAAACTTTTTCAATAGTCTCTTACCAGTTGTCAAAAATCAAAGTCAAATCATTCCTTGTTTTAAATTTTAACACTTTAAAATTTTAGCTTTCGCTTAAGATGAAGAGAGAAGGCACAGTGGAGGTTTTATCAAAGCCTTTTTAAATATATGTAAAATAAATTAATATTAAGAAAAATAAATAAATGAATAAAGTATTTAATGTATGTATGAATAGTTGGTTGACAAGGAGGTAGATTCTTTTATGTGGAAGCAATTTTTGTGAACCTGTCACTAACCTTTCATTTTTTCGGAGAACAGTTTCTGAAAAGTATAAGGTGGCAGTCACAGGCACTCATTTTGAAGCCAAAGGCTGGCTTAATTACTCAAACAAAACAGAGCAGTTTAATTATAGCTTGCAGTGCCGGCATGTTTTCGTGTCTGCTAGTGACAAATAATTTAAATTGTGAATTAAAATGAGGCCAGTAGACTCAACGTAGGAATTAAGGAAGATGCTATCTCACTCTCCCATGTGCCCTTCCTTCCTTTACTCATTAGCTGTCAATAATTTATTGTACCCAATCAGGTCTTTTGCTCCTTAGACTCGTGACCCATTGTAGTATTCTTCCAAATATAGTGAGTCTTTCCACTTTTTGTTAGGCTTGTGACTCATTTTAACCCATTCTCGCTTCCTTGTTGATGTGCTGCTGTGCCTCATTTTAAGTAGGCCACCCAATCTCTCCTCTTTTTACAGTTTTTCCTTCAAAAATATTTTATGTATCTGTTTCGTGGTGTTTTATTGAATCATTTTTAGTCAAACGAAAAGTGACAAATTAAACTCAAAACATAAATATTCTTTTCAACTTTTAATTTTTCACAAATCAAATGTAACTACCAAATACCCTATCAAATCTGAGGTTTCTTTTCGCTAAATTTTGTGGTTTTCATGGTGCTCTCAAAAGTTATTTGAATTTAAATCAATCTTATCTTCATATTAATACAGCCTTCCTTGCAAGTGCAGTAAAACACATCATGATTACTTATCAAAAGAAGTTGCGTTTGCTAAAATTTGTGAAGTTCGGTTTCAATGGCTCAGTCTAGTGGGTGTTTTAAACTAATGTACCAGACAATTGCAATTTGATAATTTTTTTTTTGAAATAAGTTCATTCAAGTCTACACCAAATAAGTTTACACACTCTTAAAGTGCGATAGAATATCTGCCATCCTGGTTCTTGTCTTCACTTTCAATACTCAACCACGGCCAGCTGACCATCTGTCACGCATGAAAGCGCAAAAACTTGGATGGCTTAGATTTTTATTGTCAGAACCATTTACTGAAGTATTCTTTGACCATTATATGAACAAAAAGAACTACACTAGCTTGGTTTTTTTTTCCAGCCCTCTTTTTTCAAAGTTTTAGTTCTTTTTAAACGCAGTGAAAAGAATTCATCATTGATTCTTGTTTCATTTTTTTGTGTAGTTCCCAAAAATTGGATTACTGTGAATGTTCTCTTGATTCCATTATTTGCGTCTAACCTATTGGAGGGATGGAGGAACTAATTCTAACTCGGGACAGTCCAAATGACCCTTGGGGTTTCCGCCTCACCGGTGGAAAAAATTTTGGCACACCTCTCACAGTAGTTAAGGTAAGGTTTTTTACACATAATGAGATACAATTCCTAATTACAATTCGGAAATTAATGAGAGATCGTATTCACATAATTGGAACACGAGAGGATTCCAGGAATGTAGGTCAAAAATCTAAAAATACCTTTCTAAATAATAAAGAGGTCAATGATATTTCTAATTTTTGTCGGAGATCTTTCTCAAAGAAAATCAAAAACTTTTTAAAAATATGTTTTAAGTACCCATCTCCTTAAGACTGCCTCAAATTTAGTAGAATTTTTGAATTACAATCACCAAAAATTACAAGTTTTCATATAGGGTTGTCAGACTCAAGAAACTCAAACCACCTCCGTTTACGAATAGAAGAAAATTTTCTAATGCTCACTGACGACAAGACCTATCTTTTTGTCAGTGAGATCTGATTCAATAGTCTATGAAATACATGTTTAGCAGTTTTTTTCTAAACTTAGGTAAGTCAAGTGCACTGTATCCAACAATGCAACAGTAATCATATTTAGTTATCACTGATCTTAATTTTTTTTTCTGAGAGCTTCTAAGCTTGCTGAAGTTCGAATTGGTGATTTTGTCTGAATATTTTCACAATTATCAGCAATATTTGGTAACAGTCGGTTTGCTGAGAAATTTCTTACAATACTGTCTCACACTAAAACATTGTGAAAGCTATGCGCCATTTAAGGAAAGTTTTTTATTTGAAGATAAATTCATGACATAACCATCTTATGAACAGGTGACTGGTGGTGGCATCGCAGAGTCTGCTGGAGTCCAAGTTGGAGACATGGTCATGGGAATCAACAACGAAGAGACAGCCTCATTCTCCCACTCAGATGCCCAGAAAGCCATCATTAATGCTGGGGATCATCTAATCCTAACGATATTGAGGTATTTGATTTTTCAACCTACCTATCTCTTTTTTCCATCTCACAATTTGAATGTATTTGAGGGACTTGAAGTGTAAATACCAAATTTTAAAAAAGGATGGCGTACACTGAAGCTAGGGTGCCTGAATACCATGAAAATTATCAAACGTAATAAGTAATATCAAAGTATTTATCTATCTTTCAAACTTTACCTCACTTTCCAGACCTAAACAGCCAGAGCCTTTTCTTCAGTTGGAAGCATTCAAATAAAAAGGAACTATATGCATTCCGACATGAGTCCTGAAATCCAAAAGAATGCATGTATGACAAGGCTCATGTCACAATAGACATAGTTTCTTTTGATTTCAATGCGTCTAGTTTTCTGTATCACTCAGGTTTTAACAATACACAGAAGTAATGCTTGAAGTGTGAGTGCAGCAGCTAGAATCTCTCTGCTGGGCAGTGCATTTGGCCATTTTTATAGTATACCGGCACTCCGGTTAAAAAGTGCTGTTTTCTTTGAAGAATTGTATACTTCAATTTTTTAGGATTAAAAATTTGACACCAAACATTTAAACAGCAACGCTTGCATGAGCAGAAAAATTAAAATTTGGATTTTACAAACGAAAGGGCAAGAGTGCTAAATTTTGAAATCAACAGCTGACTCAAAATAGAGTTACAGAGGAGTATGAATGCTCAGAGGGATGTTATCAAATTTTTAACGATTATCCATGATAGAAAAATCTCTTGTGGACAACAATCAGATAATCAGTTCGCCTAATGTTTGAAGTTAATGTAGGAAATGATCTTTAGTGTAATCCCACCTTTTTGAAGTGGCTGTTTTTCTGTAAAGCGGAATGAAACTTGGGGTCGGAATTTAGGAATCCAGTCCCTAATCCTCATTACTTTAGAACTTAGTCTTGGGAGTACAACATAAACCATGAATTAGACAAGAAGATCAGAATACCATTATTGTGGATCTGTCTGATTTTGTATCTTTGCCTTTAAGCTTTTACCAAAACTTCGATTTGTTTTGCAGGGGAAGTCCTGTGGAATTACCCGTAACTCCTTTACGATGCAGGGTAAGCAAATTTCTGCTCTTTTAATAGTCTTTTTCTCTCCTCAGCATTCCCTCATTTGATATTTATTCGTTAGAAAAAATTTACCATCTTTTCTTCAATTTCAGAATTGAAATTGCATGCTAATTTTGATTGCTTTCAATTATATTCTGACATATATTTAGACCCTCATTGAAAACTGAGAAAGGAAATGTCTACTGTCCGGGGTGCACTCCAGTTTTTGTTTATGCCATTAATTCTATCCATAAATATAGATTCATGTACAAAAATCTTTTACGCGTCAACGTGGAAGTACAGAATTTCAACAAACTAATTATAACTGAATTTTCATTGGTTACAGACGCCTGTTTCCAGGCCAGATTCTACAATAACGGTAACTCTGGATCATGTAGAGAACCTGCTTGATCCAAACATTGTTCCTAGCGATGCAGACGTTGTCATAGTCAAAAACTCCGTTGCGAATCGAGATGCTCCTGTTGATATTCCCTACCCCGAAGCTCCAAGTAAGCATCAGTCCGGCTCATTATCTTTATTTCTCCTGCAAGGTCTTCATTTCCAGAATGAAATTAAAAAAAAAACTACTCTAAGAACATGTAAACTCATGATATACGAGTGTATCATTTTTCTAAAAGGCTCAATCTCCATTTGATAAGCCAACGACAAGCTGTATCAATAGCTGCGGCAAATGCTACTAAGCAAGGTCATATAGAGCATAGCCATGCCCCTACCAAGTTGGACTGCGTTCTTCCAATCTCGACTCATAGGTGTCACTAGCAATTACGCCAAATATGAGTATGTGTCACCCACGATTTACTCCTAACATAGTCAAACAGTAGACTGACTACTACTATGTCCCTTCCACATCTTGTTGCCTCAAAGGTACACCAACATGGCATTGGAGTGGCATGGTCATCTGCCGCTATGATGACAAACTTTTAGATCTCCTTAAAAACTTGTTATCACATGAAAACGGCATGAGACCGGGGACTTCGGTGCTGCCACCAGTAGGCTTTGACCGCTATACTACTGAGGCTGACTCCAATAATAGTTCAAAATAATGTAGTCGCCATTTTTGTTAATTTTGAGGTAAATTTGCCAGCGTGTGTTTTGACCTGCTCCAAACATAGACAGAGATAGCGCCAAATCAGATGGTGTTGTACAAAAATCAAACTACAACAGGCTTTCAAGTTTATTTTAAATTTTTTAGCCCCAATAGAGGGCATATAGGGTAGGTGGGGGTAAGAGTACTCACGAGGTAAAAGTACCCACTGCACTTTTTTTGCGCGCTTTGTTTGAATTTATGATGGCACCAGGTGTTGGTTGTTGGCAACATTGAGTTTCATTTGTTGACGAAGTTTTGTGCGAAGTGGATGTGTTTTGACGGAATTATGAGGCAAGTTCACTTTTCATGCGAAAAAGATCGATTTTTTTAGTATTTGTATTGTCTGTTGTGAGTAAAATAGTCGATGGAGAAAATCTGACAGACACTGTATCAAAATGTTATAGTGTTGGCTTTAATAATCCGTGGTTGTTTTCACACCTAGCGCCTTGGGCTCAAAGTTTTAGTTTATGTTGTCCAATGTTTACAAATGGGGCAAGAGTACGCAGCCAGAATGGGGCAAAAGTACGCGCCCAAAAGTGGGGTGTAGTGGGGGAGGGGGGGTATAGGAACTTCGAAATAGAAGATATAGGCAACTTACTAAGTATCTTAATAAATTTGTATGTTCCTTTGTTCAATTTGGGCAATTACACTTTTTTATTTTCCTGTTTAAAAAAAATTGACTTCGAAAATTTTTTTGGAACTTGCGGAGACTGAGTTATTTTTTTTTTCTCAGTAAAAGTGGTTAGGCACTATTGGCACCCTTTGAGACCAGTTTCAGTCGTTTTCCGGGATTTAACAGCGATTTGGAGCCCAGGAGATGTTTTTAAAAGAAAAATTTCACCTGCGTACTTTTGCCCCATTAAATGGGGCAAAAGTACGCATTTTCAAATTTTTTTAAAAAATTCGTCATGGCCATGGATTTGCTTTCTAAATTCGGACAACGCAGGGCATTTGTGCCGAGGGCTTGCAGTAGGTGCCTGACCTTTTTTCCCGCCTTAAAAGTCGATTCGGTCACGAAAATACAGGAAAAACCAAAAAATGCGTACTCTTACCCCCACCTACCCTACAACTAAATGTCTTTAAATTATCTTATGAGTTGTTTTTCCTGTTTGTTTTCATATTGATCAGAGCAAACCACCGAACCTTCCGAAGAAGAAATCGCTGAGTTGATGTTGGAAAATGCTGAAGTTATTGATGATTATAATGTCATAGGGTATGATTTTTCCTAAAATATTCAAGAAAAAGAATGCTTTGATTTTTTGTTCATTTTTTGATAGGTGCTGGAGGCAGTTATTGAGACCTTTTTATTTGTCAATTAGTTGAATTCAAAAGAGATCCTAAATTCTATTTGTGATTTATTTCTCTATCTTTTAACATTTAAAAAGCAAATGACTGCATGGTTATAAAGAACTTAGAAAGACAAGAAAAATGGCGCAAATAAAATTAAAATCGGTTATTTCGTTCAAAAGTTACAGCCGGTCAAAGTTTGAAATTGACCACTTTTCAAGAAATCGCCGATGAGCTCCAAATTATCGGAAAAACAAAAACAAACCAGGAATGAAAAGTTTGAAAAGTGCTTTTTAGGAAAAGGAAAAGCAACTGACGTTGTCACAAGTCTGGATGGCATTGTTTCAAAATAAAATTTCGGAAAATTCAACATGGCGGCAAATTTGAGGAAACGCAAAAAATGAAAATTCCAGAAACTGTTATCTTTCAAATACCCTCTAGTTTAAGGAAATCAAAGGTTTCAACTTTTATTCCTTTATTTGGCCAAGTAAGAGCAATAATTTGCTGACTTAAAAGTTGTCAAGCGGGGCGCCTTCNCTTGTGACAAAGCTCATGTCACAATAGACATAGTTTCTTTTGATTTCAAAGCGTCTAGTTTTCTGTATCACTCAGGTTTTAACAATACACAGAAGTAATGCTTGAAGTGCAAGTGCAGCAGCTAGAATCTCTCTGCTGGGCAGTGCATTTGGCTATTTTCATAGTATACCGGCACTCCGGTAAAAGTGTGCTGTTTTCTTGGAAGAATTGTATACTTTTATTTTTTAGGATTACAAATTTGACACCAAACATTTAAACAGCAACGCTTGCATGAGCAGAGAAATTAAAATTTGGATTTTACAAACGGAAGGGCAAGAGTGCTAAATTTTGAAATCAACAGCTGACTCAAAATAGAGTTACAGAGGAATATGAATGCTCAGAGGGATGTTATCAAATTTTTAACGATTGTCCATGATAGAAAAATCTCTTGTGGACAACAATCAGATAATCAGTTCGCCTAATGTTTGAAGTTAATGTAGGAAATGATCTGTAGTGTAATCCCACCTTTTTGAAGTGGCTGTTTTTCTGTAAAGCGGAATGAAGCTTGGGGTCGGAATTTAGGAATCCAGTCCCTAATCCTAATTACTTCAGAACTTTGTCTTAGGAGTACAACAGAAACCATGAATTAGATAAGAAGATCAGAATACCATTATTGTGAATCTGTCTGATTTTGTATCTTTGCCTTTAAGCTTTTACCAAAACTTCGATTTGTTTTGCAGGGGAAGTCCTGTGGAACTACCCGTAACTCCTTTACGATGCAGGGTAAGCAAATTTCTGCTCTTTTAATAGTCTTTTTCTCTCCTCAGCATTCCCTCATTTGATATTTATTGGTTAGAAAAAAATTACCACCTTTTCTTCAATTTCAGAATTGAAATTGCATGCTAATTTTGATTGCTTTCAATTATATTCTGACATATACCTCATTGAAAACTGAGAAAGGAAATGTCTACAGTCTGGGGTGCACTCCAGTTTTTGTTTACGCCATTAATTCTATCCATAAATATAGATTCATGTAAAAAAATCTTTTACGCGTCAACGAGGGAATACAGAATTTTAACAAACTAATTATAATTGAATTTTCATCGGTTACAGACTCCTGTTTCCAGGCCGGATTCTACAATAACAGTAACTCTGGATCACGTAGAGAACCTGCTTGATCCAAACATTGTTCCTAGCGATGCAGATGTTGTCATAGTCAAAAACTCTGTTGCGAATCGAGATGCTCCTGTTGATATTCCCTACCCTGAAGCTCCAAGTAAGCATCAGTCCGGCTCACTATCTTTATTTCTCCTGCGAGGTCTTCATTTCCAGAATGAATAAAAAAAAACTACTCTAAGAACATGTAAACTCATGATATACGAGTATATCATTTTTCTAAAAGGCTCAATCTCCATTTTATAAGCCAATGACAGGCTGTATCAATAGCTGTGGCAAATGCTACTAAGCAAGGACATATAGAGCATAGCCATGCCCCTACCAAGGTGGACTGCATTCTTTCAATCTCGACTCATAGGTGACGCTAGCAATTGCGCACAATATGAGAATGGGTCACCCACGATTTAATCCTAACATAGTCGAACAATGTAGACTGACTACTACTATGTCCCTCCCACATCTTTTTGCCTCAAAGGCACACCAACATGGCATTGAAGTGGCATGGTCATCTGCCGCTATGATGACAAATTTTTAGATCTCCTTAAAAACTTGTTATCACATGAAAACGGCATGAGACCGGAGACTTCGGTGCTGCCACCAGTAGACTTTGACCGCTATACTACTGAGGCTGACTCGAATAATAGTTCAAAATAGTGTAGTTGCCATTTTTGTTAATTTTGAGGTAAATTTGCCAGCGTGTGTTTTAACTTTCTCCAAACATAGACAGAGATAGCGCCAAATCAGATGGTGTTATAAAAAAATCAAACTACAACAGGCTTGCAAGTTGATTTTAATTTTTTTAGCCCCAACAGAGGGCATGTACAACTAAATGTTTTTAAATTATCTCATGAGTTGTTTTCTTGTTTGTTTTCATATTGATCAGAGCAAACCACTGAACCTTCCGAAGAAGAAATCGCTGAGTTGATGTTGGAAAATGCTGAAGTTATCGATGATTATAATGTCATAGGGTAAGGTTTTTGCCTAAAATATTCAAGAAAAAGAATGCCTTGATTTTTTCTGGTTTTTTGTTCATTTTTTGATAGGTGCTGGAGTCAATTATTGAGACCTTTTTATTAGTCAATTATTTGAATTCAAAAAAGGTCCTAAATTCTATTTGTGATTTATTTCTCTATCTTTTAACATTTAAAAAGCAAATGACATAATGCTCTCCTTGACATTCTGGAGCGTCACATACTATAGGAACTAATGCACAGAAAGAATAAAACTTTTCCTTGAAAAAGTGATGTGGCCTTCAAATATATTTCAAATCTATCGTAAAAAGATGCAAACTACTGTTGAATCCATAAAAAGTTTTAAAAAACAAATTGTGACAAATTCCTGAAAAAACTCAGAATGTTTTTGACTTTTTCATAATAGACTCATATCAGAATTTCTTGAACTAGGCCCGCAGTGTAACTTGCTCTGAAGCTTGCAAGTTGGGTTTTCCATATTGTTATCTAAGTACTCATTCAGTGGTTTCTGTACTTTTTAATGTCTTTTTTTCTCATTATCTTTATTTTACAATTGACATCAGTTGATGGAATTTAATATTATCATAGACTGTATATTACTGCTCCAATATACCACTTGTTGTTTCCTTCATTATTAACGGTCCTGCTGGAACATAATGATCAAAGTCATTGTTGATATTTATTGAATACTTACTTTATCTGTGGATAATTTTCACCATTTTTCTTTTCCAGGGTCAATTTTCAGCGTTTTGTTCCGAAGTGTGATTTCATCAAGAATTCCTTAGTTTTTCAGGTAATATTTCCTCTTTTTCAGGTAATATTTGTTCTTAGTTTTACTTTGCAGCTGAAAGTCTGTGAGAATTCTCATGAACTTTCAGCTGCAAAACCCAAACATTACCTTAGATTTTTGTTTTATCCCACCATTTTCTTGAAAAAGCGTGGAAAATCGTCGAAAAATAACTATAAACTCATTCGCGAAGGAAAATTAACTGCTCAATGAACAAAGAGGGTGATGAAAAAAATGAGGGTCACATTCGGATTAAATAGCTCTAAATATATAAGAATCATTGTGACACGGGTCCAAAATATTTGGAAAAGAAAAATTGCATTAATGACAAAAATACGTAATATTTGCTCTTTTTCTCTGGAAAAAGTGGCTGTTCCGAAAGACTAAGAAGTGGTTCAGCCAATTCTGGACTCAGCATCTCAAAATACATCAGATGAGACCTATCTTGTACCAGTAAAAAATTTTACCTACATTTTGCAGGGTGTAACAATTGAAAAAAATCAAAGCTGCCCTTTTTTCCAAACAAAATTGGTTTTTCTAGAAAATTGAAGGGTGATGGAAAAAACCAAAGTCCTTTGCAAATTTAGCTCCCCAAAATACACTTTGGTTTTTTTATCCCGTCCCGGAGACAGATTTGTTGTTTTTTGTTGCACTATGTGTTCTGGTTAAATTAAGCATCTGGAGCGTACCAATTTTATAATGAGCTGTACAGTCTAACAGCTGAATCATTGGGTCTTGTTTACACAAGCGCAGTTCGCGTAACTTTGAGCAAACTTGTTCCAGGAACTTTTCATAACTCAGCTATAATTTATTCTGTAAAACTTCAGTTTGTTGAACTAATTTGTCCAAAAGTTCCGCTAAGTGCGCTCGTGTGGACAAGGTATAATAATGAAGTTGAATTTTCTTTGTTAATTGAATTTTTTTTTTTATAATTTATTTTCAAGTTTATAATAAAAAGGTTCGGGTCCTTTCCAAAACCGATTCTGCTCAGATTCATGACAAGAACATGTTTTTTTCCATCCAACTTATCTCAGTTTAATTTATTTGATTAGGGTAGCTTTCAGTATCGGAGGTTCAAGAGTTAATTTTTACTGCAAGTTCCTGACTTTTTCATGTGTTTAAATGGTTTCTTTTTTCCTTCCTTCTCAGGCTCTTCAAGATGAAGCAATCCGTAAAGAGAAGTCTGAAGAAGAAATATTGAGCAAATGTCCAGACAAACGATTCTCAACCTTTCTTGTTCAGCCTAATCGACCAAAACCTGTTGTCAAAATTCTATTAAAAGATGACAAAAAAGACAATTCCAAGGTAATGTCCCAATTTCTAGCAAAAGGGCAAAATAGAAAATCAAGAAAATGAACATATGCAGTAAAACATGCAAAACTTTTAATAAAAAATCCAATAAATTTTAATATTTTCCTATTTGTAGCTTTTTCCTCAAAAGTTTAGGCCTTAAAGCTCCCATTACAAGTTTGTTATTGGGCAAAAGAATTACGTCATAAGTGAGGAAAAACTATGTTTTACTTCATAAACACTTATGAATTTGCCCTGCTCTTTGGCTGAAATTTCTCAATGAACTGGAACCAGTCATCTTAACAAGCTAGTTTTAGCTCATTTGAAACGAATGTAGCGAAATAAAAATGAAATAATCTTTTGACTGCACTAGCGTACTCCTAGAGTTGGTTAATGCAGTTTGGCTGAAGTTCACCTAGATGGAAAAAACATCGTGTGACAAACCTGGCGGTAAAAAGTATGGTAAGAACGCCTTTCTTTGATTTCAATCGGAAAATCTTTTTACCCACATTTCTCAAAACCTACCTGCTGCAGTTACAGCAAGCATCAAATTTTTTAGTAGTTACCATCAGGCTCACATATACACAGTGAGTACAAAAGGTCCGCAAAACAGTTGGGACAGAATGAACTCTAAACGCTTGATCTTTGTCTTTTTGATTCAGAAATAAAAAAATTGAAATATGACAAGTAATAAATACTTAAGTCCGAATTTCGTAAAAGTGAGGAAATCTGCAGCCTGATTGTTGAAATTTTTTGTTTGTCGGGACGACATAGATGACATAGGTTAAAAGGCGGAGCGTGATTGGTCGGCTATGTCTTATCGCTGCTTTATCGTACCTTTGTCAGGTGGAACGATCGAAATACTGTCGGAAACTTAAGAGGTGCCGTTAGCTTGTCGAGAGTTCAACCCGACGTAGGCACGACAAAGCAGCGATAAGACATAGCCAACCAATCACGCTTCGCCTTTTAACCTATGTCGTCTCGACAAACAAACAATTTCAACCATCAGGCTGCTGATCTTTGCCTCTGAGTTTTGCTGAGCCTAATTTTCAAAGAGAAACATTCCTCTGTCTAATATTTTTTGTGTTTCAGAATAAAGGTAGCATCGAAAAAGAGGAGCTCGTTAATGAAAAAGATTCGAATGAAGAAAAGCAATTAGAAGAGGAAAATGGCAATAAGACTGATTCGCAGCCGATTGGAGAACCTGAAAAAGCCTCTGAAACTGAGGTGTCACAAACCTCCGGGGATTTACATGAACTTAATGCTAATGAAGAGATTCTTGACAAAGACTCTACACAAGTCACGGAGGAATTAGTCTCTGCGTTGGAGAACATAATAGATGGGAACGTCAAAGATGAGGACTCAGATACCGCTCAAGAAAAGGTAGGATGTGATAAGCAGCATACTTGTAGGGTTTCAGACGGTACATTTTATAAAATGTTCAAAAATCTTGCTTAGTTAGGACAGAAGGAATCTAAATGAGTGGATAAATTGTTGAATAAACTGCAATTTGATAGCCTTGATGCTGAAAAACAACATCAGAGAAAAATCTTTGCCATGTTAGAGGTTTCGATCAACATATTGATCTGCTTGCAACCTCTCCCAGTTTATCTCATGAGGTCATTGCACTATTTCCTCCAGCTCTCTAAAGAAATTTAAAGGCGAAAGTTTGGATGAAAATGGTCATCTCTTAGCGTTTCTTGGGTGATCTTAATGCACTGATTGTAGCATTGATCTATTATATCAGAAGCTCCAGGAGAACAATTGTTGTTTGCCGCTAGTCCCAAATGTTACATGTGATGATAAATGCAGATTTAAGAAATTTTAAGTTGTCATTTATCATTTATGATCCAGTCAAATATGTCAAGTCATTGAAGATAATTTTTTTGTTTTTTCTTTTTGTTTCTCAGGAGAGAGAAAAGGAGATAGCCGAAAAGCAAGCTCAATTAAGTAACGCCACTTCAGAGTTATCAGAATTCGACAAGCAGCTGGCGCAAATTCAAAAACAGTTGGCTAGCATCTCAATTCTGCCCTCAGAAATCCAGTCTCATTTGAACCAAGTTCAGAAGCAAATTAACAAATTGCTGGAACTTAAAAATAAAACTGCTGAACAAAATGTGGTAAGTGAAAGTGATGAAATTCTATTAATCTCTACAACCGTCAATCATCAACAGTGTTTACAATGAAGCGTCACCAGTTGTGAAATTGTTTCATATTGATAATTCGGAAATTAGTATGAAACCAGTATTTTTGCGTTGGTTTTTGCTTATCTTGATTTTCATTTATTTTATTAATATGCCTTAAAAATCTAGTATTTACGATTTTGTTCTTTACCTATGGAACAAATCTGTGGTTTTCTCGTTAATTGTGACTCCAAGCTCCCTGGTAACGATTGTAAAATTGTGAAGGATTAAGGTTTTCTCAATTGAATAAATTATTTTGAAAAGGGCTTATCTCTGGAAAAGAAAAAATAGCGTCTCATTTTGGAAAAGTAGTAGGGTCATGCTCTCTGTTAATTTTTCCTCCCTTCTTTTTTTTATAGTTTATGGTGAAAATGTAGGCATGAATTTTGTTTTTTGAAGAAGTGGCCGATTCTTAGGATTTATAAAGCATTTCTTATAGTGAACAAAAATGACAGACAGCTCCCAACTTTAGCGTATATGACCTATCTGAATACTAGTTTCGTATTTTTTGTTCAGAGCTGTCCTTGTTTGGAAGTAAATGATTTAATTGGGGTACCTGGAAAAGGAGAACAGAGGGCTTGAACCCTCCGAGAAAATTATTTTTCATGTACTCATTTTTAATTTTTTTTTAATCTGTCTCAGAATACACAATCAGAACCTGTACCCAGCAAAGAGATTGACAACTCAGAGCCCGAGCAAGAAAATTCTGCAGAAGCAGCAGAGACTTACTCTAACAATAACTTTGAGTCGGAAGATTTAAATCCAGCTAATGAAGATGCGTCAAGTGATATTCAGCCACCGCAGTATAGTCAACCATCGGAAGATGAGATCAGTGAACAAGAGGTCATTAATTCAATGCTCACTTGTAAATAGCTTTCTTTTGCATCTTTTTGTCCATGGTCTTTTTCACAAATTGAACGGGATATTTGAAAAAGGGCGTTACCATCGAATTCTCAGAAATTGAATTTTTGACGGAATACTATTCTTCGAGGGTAGACGCATCTTATTAGCGAAAGATTCCACCAAAATTGCTCTTTCAAAGCTTTTTTTAATACTTGAATATCTGCTTAAGTGGAAAAAGCATGTAATATCCGAGCCATCCTTCCCAGCACAGGGTGCCTTCTCATGATAAAAATCATGGGCAAGGGCACAAACCACGGTTTTTAATATTTTCATCAAACACGCATGCTATTTAACTTTCCTAATACCGCTAAAAATAGCGGCCCCGAGCTGTTTTGGTCATGGGCTGATTTTTTGGAATGGAAATACGGAGAATCGTGAAAAAAATCAAGTTGTTTCATGTTTTCTTGAAACTTTACTGTTGCCAGTTACGTCCCTCTTCAAATAAGCCGTTCAGTTGAGGTTTCAATTTTGGTGGTTCTGTTTCTTCCTCTTTGCTATCGTTTTCATTAAATATTTTAATTGATTTTACCAGAAATGGATAGTAGATTTTCATGTGTGATAGGCTGTATATATGGATTTCCTAATTAATTTCTTTTGCTTATTCAATATCCAATTATAAATTTCTCAAACCAAGGTTAGTGCTGTAGGCTTTTATTTTTAGGGTATGTGTATAGAATTCTGATTAAAATTTTCTGTCAATTTATTTAGCAACAGAGCCGAAATATTAATTCTCATCGATCCTGCTTCAAAGGACCAAAGCCTAGAACTTACTGCTTTTTATGTTTTATTTCCCCCTTTTTTTTAAATCTAAAAATAGTGTATGTTTAAAGGTTTACCTTGGAGAGTGGCCCAGAGCACGAATTGAAACTTTTACAATTGCATATTAACCAAACATATCATAACATATCATTCACGATCAGTCTGAGCAATCAATTCAAAATTGATGAGTACTCAAGAATTTTATGTACCTACCAAAACGGTTACGTTTCCTCGGTAGTGAATTGAGCACTGAGTATTGACCATATGAGCATAGTGAACATTTAAAAAAGTAAAAGGGGGAAAACAAATGTATACAATATTCAATTGGTATTTTCAAGTAAATTCAAGTATTTTGTAAATATTTTATCACCCCCATCCAAGAGATGGGGGGTTTTGTGGGTTGGCTGTTGCATGGCGTTTTCAGCTGTCATGTAGGAAGCATGATCCTAATATAGAGTTCCTTTCATAGCTTAAGAGGCACCTACGGTGATTTTAAACTGCAATTAGGTATTAAAAAAAATGTTTCAATATTATTAATTACGTGACAAACATAAGAAAGTTCATAGGAAGTTTATTGCGCAGAGGAAAACAGTTTTTGAAGTGGCTCTTTTTCAAGATAATGCGATTATAAATTCATATCAGTCACATCCAAAGATTACTCACTTCTTTCATTCTTTACTATTTTAATTACTTCAGCTCTCCTAACATTTTTTTAACTATTGATTCCTCGTAAATTCCCCTCTAAGATAGATACACATGACATTCTATGAAAATGGTTGGAAGCACTGCTCGGCAGAGAGACCTCCCCTGCTGCACAAACGAATAAAGTTCCCAAGATTTTATGTCCCTCTCTCTCTCCCTCCAATCGTGAGAGAAAGGAGAGAGACTAGGTTATCATTCAATCTTTTAGACTATGTTTGCTTTTATGTCGGTACTTTGTTATAGTGAGAATCTTCCTTTTTTTAAAATAAAAAAGTTAAGCTAGTATAGATTAGGTAGTTATTTCTGTCTTCTTCTAATGATGAAATCGTCAGATTGTACCATACTTTTGCAGCATGCTGTATTTCTGATATTTCCTCTTTGTAAACGTCCAATTTTGAATAGGTTTAGCCATTTTTAATAGTATTAAATTAATTTAAAAAAACATTTTGCCCCCCGTTATACTTTACTCAAAACCTGTCAGAAAAAATAATTTTCCCATGCTCACAAAATCTTTCATTTTTCAACGAATGCAATAATTAAACGAATTTGGTTGCCTTAAAATCAACTAGTGCCGTTTTCTGTTTGAAGTATGCTTTACTTGTACAAAAGCACATGTGTTGAATGTTTGCTACTTTAAGGACTAAACCTGTAAATAAAGTCTTCAAATAAACCAGATTTTTTGAGCGTGATTTTTTGTTCAATTCATTCTCTGATCGAACTAAATTTCTCTCCATATAGGAGGAGCCGGTAAGACGAAAAAAATGGTCCATACCCCGAGAAAAGCCTTCATTCCCATTAACCCCTTGTCTGAGACCAGTTGTGCTCCCTGGTGGACGCAAGTGGAGGTCACCCAAAGATGCATATTCGGAAGCATTTATCACTGAAACACTTGTTTCTCAGGCTGAAGTTTTAGTTGGAACAACAATAGGGTGAGTCGTTTCTTTTTGTACCAATTTGAACAATGAGTTTGACGAAGCGTATTTTTAATCTTTCGCTATTTGCTTATCGGTTCTTTCTTTCAAAATCTTCAAGCTTTTAAAAATAAACCATCAATAGTTTTTGTAATTACTGTTCAAACCAATCTACCATTGTCTTATTTAACAAACCTGCAATCCCGAATTCAGCTCTTTAAACTTCAAAGCTTCTGTTCCACTTTGTTCAAAGTCCTTCATTACAAATAAATTATTAAAAACTTAGTAATGTGGTATCCAATGTGGAAGACCTCCCTAGGGCTGCAAAGCAAAAAAGTACTATAAGGAAAACACATTTTAACTTTTAAGTTAATGCAGTTAGTGATTGTACAGCCATATGTCATTATAACGTTTTTTAAGAGGAATTAAGTTTACAACGTTGCCTCTGGAAAGAATAGATTCACGAAAACATTTTCAAACAAAAAATTCAGTGTTTACATGATATAGGCGCATTACAAGACACATATTGAAGTTATTCTTTTTTCGGAGCTGCTCTCTCGACAAAACATGGTAAGGGTCAATCGAAAATTCCTAAAATCTACCTCTTATTTTTATTCCTATACTCATAATTTCTAGTAAGAGCGCTGTAAACTATCTGCAAGGTAGATTAACACAAGTGACTCTCTGCAGAAAATTGAGAGAGGTTCTAGGAGAAGAGCCTATGAAAGTTCAGTGTTGGTATTCTTTTCTCAAAGCAGCCCCTACTTTCCTGAACAAGCGGCAATGTAGCTGAGACCACCGGTATTTCTTTGTTCAGACAAGATGGCTTGGAGACTGTGGAGACTTAGACTCTCAGACTGTGAAGCCTCTTTTTCTTCTGAAATCCTCTGCAATTTCACACAAAAATGACACCCGCATTATCATTTTGACTTTAAAGGAAACCAAAAACAGAGAAAAAGTTTTGCACTGACTAATGTAAAACTGCAGTGAGGTAGAGAATAAGAGGCGTAGCAAGTTCTTCTGTTAGATGACCCAAAGCAGAAGGGCTTCTGCCCACGTGAGTAAACTATCAAATAAATGAGCAAGTTTGAAGTCTCTCTTGAATTTTTTTTAATTACATATTTTTGATAATCTATTCATCCATCACTCTTAAATGCAGTTCCGAAACATACTTAACTTATTCGTCTGTTAAATAGAGTCAATTTTCGAAAATATGAGCCAGCTAAGGTTGACATGTCACACTCCCCCACCTGGCGACTTATTCATAATGTAGAGGAACCGACAGGGGGAATAGCAAATAGACCAGAGAGGATCCCTGCTGATTGCGAATACATGGAACCAGTATGTATTTCATCCTGATTTTATTTCATAGGAATACGTCTGTACCTAGGATCTAAGTTACAGGGATTCGCTGTCAAAATGCATTCTGATGTTGCAAAGCTCTGCGAAGCCTCTTAAGAATTTTAATAAGAGTATAAACGAAGGAGTATTACTGAGTCAAAAGCATTCACTTCATTCTCGTTGAAAAGATTATTACGCTGCTATCGAGCAAAGAGCGGGCAGAGAAGTTAGCCTCTTTAGTTTTTTATTTCCGATTCAAATGGAAATTGACACTCTAAATCTTTCAGTTCCCTCTCAGGCAAAATGTGCTTTCACAGGGAAAGCAGCCGGCGTGGATTCTTCATATTTTTATAATAATTTTACCAACTTCTCGGAGGTCCACCCCACGGCCTGCTTTGCACCTCAAGCTTTATACATTATTCTTATGATTTTATGTCATACAGTAAGATTGGGAAGACATTGTGAAAAATGCAGTACTAAGATGATCAATCAAGTTTCCAAGCAAAAGAGTGCTTATTTTTTCGGGGAAAGAAGTCGTAAAATTTTCGATAGAACTAAAGCATTCTTGCTGCAGATAGTAGGACAATGACTCTCTGTTGATTGGAATCGTCTCCTCTGTTCTTAATAATTTTATTTGATCATCAGATTACCTACAGAAATATTTTTTTCCAAACTCTAAGTTCTCTGTTTCAGAAGTGGCCACAAAATACCGATTATATTACAATTTATCAACCATTGCTGTGTCCTCAGAACTTTTTTGACAATGCTCATGATTCTTCTGACAACATAGAATGATTTTAATTGCGTAGATAGAAAAAAAGTAAAACGGGATGGCAACAAGAGCGTTACCAATGTTGAAACTTTTAAACGATGTATCTTGTTTGCGGTGTTTAAAAATCTCCACTTCTTTTTTATTTATTTATTTTAAAGGAGAACAAAACAACATTTTTACTTGAGAATCAATCAAAATTTTCTTTCCTCAGAGAAGAAAAATCCCGGAAGTTTTTCGAAATTGACAGTGCGTGGTTTTCTATTTAAGTAATAAAGTATGGCAGGAGGTCTGCAACGTCTCTAACTGAGTTACGTAGTTTGGGAGTTTCACGATCGATACCTAATGATTTGCTAAAGCCAAAATTAATTCATCATTATTGTCTTAACTAAAATCTGAGAGCTCAATCTAGTTTTAGTGAACATGTTTAAAACAAATTCTGCAATCATTGTTAATATTCATATTTGGTTGAACAGATTCATGCGAGACATTTTTACGTCGCAAACCTGACGATAAATCCAGACGTAAGTTGGTATCAGTGGATGCTCTTGTGAATGCAATTTTGATAGAACGGATTTGTCCATGAATGAAGCTACCCAATTAAATGAGGGAAAAAGAAGATATTTTGCATGCTTGTGGTTAAATTGTTTTTTTGCTCGCCTGAGGATAGAGGAAATTTTTTTAAAAGAATAAGAAGAAACAAACAAGCATGAATCTGGAATTATTCCCAGTTATCAATCTAAAAGAATAGTTCTTCTCTACAGAAAATTACTATGTATATGAGGAATTTGCTGTGTGGAATATATAAATAATGCTGCTTTTTTTTAAAATAATGTTAAAAAAATAAAAGGGAAAGACCTCAAAATTTTCAGTCTGATCTGGACCGAGTTCAACAGATTTGCACCAAGTTGCAGCAAGAAATCGAAACGAGGAAATTGTTTGAAATTTTCCTTCTCCATAAGAATCTGCGTTAAGGACCAAGTCTAGCCTATTTTTACATTCAAAAATTTCTTTTGGACCATGAATTTTTGACAGAAGAAAATTTACAATCAGTTAAATGCAAAACTACTCCTGACTTATTTTCTTTTAAAAACGCGACTTCGTATATATCTGCTAAACTCGATGCATATGAGGTATGAATAAGTACCAGAAGGAGCTTCCAGGCATGCTTTATTCTTGATTCTTATTGTGACGTGAAAATTTGCATCATGAAAAATTTAGAACAAAAATTATCTGCTCTTTTCATTATTTTCTTTTCTAGGTAACATCATCTCTGGTCAACCAGCCTGAGCCTACTGAAGCTAATGCTTGCACTTAATTCCAGCAGAGAAAAAGTATTAAGACTGTCAATATGTAAATATTAGATAAAATACCTTCTTAAAAAAATGTGAAGAATTCATGTTTGCTACAAGTTATGTACAGAAAAAAAAGTTATGTTTTAGACCTGTTGAGTACGCAATGGTTGTAAATAAACCTAAAATTTTCTGTTCAAAAAAAGTTAATTTTTACTTTACAATAGATTTTATCTAAGCTTTCAATTAAAATTGATGCAAATCATAGAGAAAATACAGAAGGTGGTAGCAAGCGGAGAAATGTTTTTTCCTATGTCACAGCTAAAGATGAAGCCGCCCTTCTAATTAATTAATGGTTTGGCGGGCAAACCGAGACCCCTTTGAAATTTAAAAGGGAGCAGGAAAGGTTGTGAGATTCCCACTTATTTTGGCTTTAAAAACTCATAACCATTGACTTTTTATGTTTCAATATGTTTTTCTATCAATGTTCGACTGTAACTGAAAATAATTTATAAGTTAAAAATATTTATTTCATATAATAACAACGTTCATCTCGACTTGTCCCGTTTTGAAGGTATAACCACGTTAAATTTTGTTCTGTGCATCACAAAAGCAGAAATCGGAGAGTCATGGTAACTAATGTTCAATTATATGACTTTCAATATTAGATTCAGTGGTGATGTAGGTTTTCATACAGGTTCCATCATGAAATGATGCTTTTTTTTTGAACAGCGCGCCAGTCCGTGTACTTTTCTGCGTCACAGCCAATCTTCATGATGGCTGCCTTGCCACCACTTTCTGTATTTTCTCTATGGATGCAAATATTTAGTCATAATTGGAAATTTTTCTTTGCATCAATGACAATGCATTTTACAATGAAGATCTGTTAGTAGGTATTAAAATTTTCCCTAAATTCTGACTCTTTCCTTATCTTTCCACGATAAGTTGGAAATCCCACAGTTTCTGTACATCTAAATCAGAAAGCAAAAGGTGCTGTAAATTGCATTAGCTGATCTATTACCAATTAATTTACTACAATCGTAAGAGTCACATAATCTTATCAACATTGCAATGCTGGTAGTGCCTTGCTATGATGTGGTCACATTAATATGTCTGAGAAAATTAGTATTTTCTGCGTTTATAAGCCTATTTCCTTTGTAGGCCGGTTGCACTAGACATCCTGTTTCGATGGTTTAAGCTTGTATGCAAATAGGGAAGAAAATAAAAAATTAATACACAATGAGATGCAAAGAAAAGCCAAATTTCTACGTCTGATGTTAACAGAGATATGGACCAGGAAAGTGAAAATGATAAGGTCTTCTCATCTTCTAAGATAATGTGGCTTGTCTTGCAAATTTTGCCTACTTTCATTTTAACATTTTTCATCTGCAATTCATATCATTTAAGGAAAAACACAGTGAGTACTCTCCATCCTCTAAATTGGACGTATTTCTATCAAACGGACCTAAGCGACATAGGGCGAGGAAGGTAGAGGGGGGCTTGGATTGGCGGCGGAATCGGGCGTCCGGCTTATTCCGTTCCTTATTTCCGGCTTTTGCAATGCTTTTCCATGGCGCTTAGGTCCGTTTGACAGAACGCGCTATCCAGGATTCTAAATTCCTCAATAGGAACTCAAATTGGCGCTTAGTTCCGTTTGATAGAAATACGTCCAATTGTCTTTATTAACCTGTTCATCATTGTAAAATAAGAAGAATTGTACGATGATGAAATCGATGGATAAGCTTTCAAAAACCCGTTTGTATCAAAAAGTATATGAGATTTTGAAGTAAGCAGAAAAAATGACAACGAACACTTTTGTTTTACTGCTAAAAGCAATTTAATTTTTTAATCCTTATCACTAATTCAATTTTTGGTTTACATTACAAATTTTAAAGTGTGTCCCAAGACATGAATCAAATTCAGGAGAATGCAGCATGATGACATGCTTTGTGACAAGAAACAACACTTTTCACATTGAAAAAAAGAGAGAAATACCAGAACATTAATGCAGGAAATTTTAAAACTCTTAGCAGCTGATCAACGAAACTTTCAGCGAGAATTTCCCCAAGATATGCTAGAAAAAAAAAAACTAAGAGAGAGTACATAAAAACACAAAGACCACATCTAACAACCCTTCAGGGTGTTTGAAGAATAGCTGAAGGCAATTGAAATTTTTCTGATACAAAATAACGATTAGATAGAGAAGCTCCAATAAACAATATTGCTGCAGAAGTAGCGCTGTTGATACTTCTTACAGTGAAAAAAAAAGTCTACCTGCAAATACAGTTATAAACATTCATCGACAAACATTTCAAGTTGCAAAATCGGATAGCTATAATAAGAAATATTTTTTTTAGAAAAAATTGCATGGCCAGTGGCTAGGTTTTAATGGTGATGCTTAAAGCTTTATGAAACTCAGAATAGGAACATCAATATGTACAAATACTCAGGAATTTTGCACTTATTTTATAGAATGGATAAAATTACAAGCAAGCTAGGAGAGGAGGAGTAAAAATGGATTGAAATGTTATAGCCGATTATCAAATTTACTTAGAGATACTGTGATTTTTTCAATGGTGAAACTTCGGAGCTGTTTATAAAAAAATTAGCTAAACAAAAAGGAAAAGTGATTTTTATCAAACTGAAAAGTGCAAATAATAGAATCTAAATTTGGCCACAAAGTAATAGAATTAGAATTGGGACTGTATGTGTTGCAAATTCAGTCAACACTTATTTTTCCCACCAACTTGCAGGGCCACAATCACAAGATAGGCAAGGAGCATCAGATATACAAAAGCTGAGTCTCGAACGCCTGGCAAAAGAAGCAATTCATAGCAAAAATAACCTAATAAAAAAAAAAAAAGAAATGAAAAAGTACTTCGACATCTTAAAAATATGTCAATTGCTCCTTGAGTTTGAGAAGGAACAAATTTTTAATGCAATACCTGATTAAAGGGGCGAGAAGAAATAATTTTTTCAGTTTCTGTAAGAATTCAAGTCAATTCACGCAGCTGGTGCCATTGTATTTATATTTGACAGAAATCGACGTTGAAACTCCCGAACCATGTATCTTGTTTGCTGTGTTTTAAAATCTCCACTCCCATCTAATTTTTATGCAGGAGAATAAATCACCACCTTTCCAAGAAAAATCATGGAAGTTCCTTAGAACTGATGTTGAGTAGTTACCCATTTACAAAATGAAGTATGATGGGAGGTCTACAATATCGTAAACTGAGATACACGGTTTGAGAGTTTCACGGTCGAAATGTAAACTCAATGTTGAACACAAGATACAGCTCTACAGTGACAAGGTCTCAGAGAAAAGTTGCACATATTGCACGTTTTTGAAAGATGAGTCCAATACCAAACTTAAATTAACTATCTTAAGACTTCCAACATGCAAAAAATGTGTCTTTTTCCCTGTCTTTTACATAATTTTAAAGTGAAAATACTAAACTTATATCTGACTTCAAAGCAGCACCTTCCTTAATGATAAATATCAGTTTGTATCTATAGCTACGGAACCGCTTTAATTTTTCATTATTAAAAATATAAAAAAAGTTACTGTTGACAATTGAGGGAAGATTAATTTTAAAAGGATAATTAGTCAATTTAGAGGTCAGTAGGGAGGTAATAGACAGCTTATTTTTGTGAAAGATCTGTTGGACTTGTGACAAAAGAGCCTCGTCCAGTGTAGACAGGATTGGCTCTATTAGTTTCTTGGTCGAAATTTCTATTAATACATACATAAAGAGTAAAAGAGACTTGATGAATATTGCATGAGCCATGAACGAGGGATGCTCTTTTGATAGATATTTCACAAAAGTAAGCTAAGAATTACGAAATGAAGTAGCACTAACATGATCAACTCTAATAATGGTGCTTCTGGTTTCATAAATTGAGGACCGTTTCTTGCGACATGTTCTGATGATATTATTGCGGAGAACAATTTGACTTCAGGTTAACTATTGACTCCTTCATAAAGCCAGTTTTAGCCAGTGCCTATTAACGGCACGGTGCTGCTCAACTAAGGAACTTGAAAATCTTAATTATATTCGTATAGTTAGCTGCCATTTTTCAGCCCTTACAATGTCATCCGATAAAAACGAACGATTAAAATTATATCAATTCAACATGGCTAATAAAAATAAACTTTCCAATTTTATTTCAACACACTCTTTCAACAGTTTTTACAGAATAAAATAAATTTTTTTCATTTTTTCAATTCTTATTTTTCAAATAGCTTCCTCGGAGAGTAGATCAAGAGGGCAACACATATATACAGTATGTACATCTTTGATTTGATAAAACTCTTTGTTTTCGCACACGCACAATTCAGGAAATTTACTTTGAAGATTTTTAAGAGCCAAGAATAATCGTATAATTTCTCTTTCTTCAGTTAATATTTACATTCAATGGAGTTGAATTTACCCGATTAACATTTCTAAATACCTTTCATTAAAATAACTTGGAACGTGCTTTTTGTTGGTTACTATTTAAGTTTTACATTTAATGGAAGTATCGGAATTTTTGAAACTTTTAACCATTATTCATCATTAAAATTAATCGTTTGGAGCACTCATTCCAAAACAAGTAAGAAGTTTCAGAATAACTAAAGAATGAGAATTAGATTGAGACTAAACCTTTCTAAAAACCTTGTAAAAATGATTACACGGGTGTTAAAATTTCATCCGACCATTGTAAGGGCTTTTAAAAACATTAAAATAGTAGAGTTTAAAAACGATTGATCTAGAGAAAATTCTTAGCATTTTGGGCAGAAAAACACAATTATTGAACATTAACTTAGAAAAACTAAAGAGTTTTCGGTTCAGAGTGGGGACGGGGTGTCGAAGAAAAAAATGAAATTTAGATTTAACCACAGGTAGGGAAGCTGATTGGGATAAAACGGTAAAACAGATAACATTTTTAGCAGCTTAAAGACGCTAACAGTTACAGTGATAGCTAAGAGGGTTAATATAAAACGTTTATACATGTAAAAATAACTATTTACAATTTGGAGGATACAGCTCATCCATGCAAAGCTGGAGCTGCCAGATTTACATTTGAAATAAATAAATTATAAATATGTATAAAAAATAACAAGAAAACATACAGCTGCACTCAAGTATCCGATGTCGGAAGGAGCTGGGTCATTAGGGATTGAAATAAACACAGCTTCTGAACATGAGAAAAGCAAGGAAAGCTTGTTAGAAGCTGATAAGGCGAGTAGTTAAATGGCAGTTGTAAAATCAAAATCAATAGATAGTGAAATGAAATTGCATCCCTGATGAACTGAGGAATACGAACAAACAAGAGCAGCGTTGAGAAAATTGAAAACCTGAAACAGCACGAAAAATGAAGATTAGGCAAATCATATTTTCTGATTTTGGTTCTTTTAATTTCAGGATAAAAAATCAACACATTCAACAAAAGGTAAGTACTAGGACAGGGGTGCAGGAGGTGCTCCCTGACGAGCGGAAATCAGTGTACACGTAACGAAACTTTTAGACAATTTTTTTCCCTTCTTGGAAGCGAAGAATGAGAACAAACAAAAACAACCTACAAATTACGAAATAACGAATTTTTGTCTAAAAGCGCATCTTGACCACTTTGCAGAATTAAGACATTTTCCGAGAATGAGTAAATTTTGTAGCTGACTAATTTCTACTCAGAGACACTTTTGGCACCCCTGTTTTAAGATACTGATCAAAATTTTATTTCCGACTTCACATTAAAAGGGTACGGTGTTTTTTTTTATCTATGTGATCCAGTTACACTAAGTTCACCATTGCAAAAGAGTAAAACAGCCAAGCTATATAGGCTTTCAATGTCATTCATTGTACTTGGGAAAAAAATAAAACCTAGGAAATTGGATTTCTGGATGACAAGCACCAAAATGGTTTGGAAACTGTTTCTATTTTTCAGGGGAATGTTTCAAATCCAGCTTTAGAATCTTATCGAGTAGGCCTTTAGATAAGGTAAAATTAAAACACTACGCAACATGTTTTCTCTTTAGATTTTCACCAGGAAAACGAATCACATGACGGGAAGTCTGAAAATCATCTCTTATACAAAATTATTTAAAACTGATATTAGTTGAACGGAAAAAGTACGAATGACATAATTTTTTCTGAACTTCTCATTGTTTTCTGCATAATATTCTGAAGAGGAAACATGTGACTTTTTGGCTAGTTAAGACTTTGTCTCTAAGCCCATTGTTATAGGTCGGACTTAAAGGTTTAGAATTAAAATACAAAAAAATATCATTCGAAAAAAATATATCCTTTTTTTAAAATCGAACTTCAGGTATTTACAGTCAGGAATAATAAATTTTTAATGTTCCAACAATAAATTAGCTTTAGATTTTAAGACCTTCCTCTAATAGAATTTGTAATTTATTCATGCGACCCCTGGACAAAGGCAGAATGCAGGGGAATACTGCGTTCGATGTTTGCTTAATGCTTTCAACAATGTTTATCACTAGAAAGTATAAATTTCACTTTTTCTTACCATTTAGTTCTTTTTCAGTGTGAAGAATGATCGTCTTTTAGTTTCATCCTTGCGTTCAGCGGCTGGCGCCGGGAGTGTATGTGACCTTGAGGGGCCCTCTGACCCAGGTGCCTGTGCTATTGATGACAATGCAGAGACCCATTGCCTCATTTCATCATCATCCTTCGCTTGGAACAAATAGTCCGCGCCATTGGCAGACCTAAATCAAACAGGATAAACCACTCATGATTTTGCACAGAAGAAAAGAATCTGGATCAACACAGAAACAAAGTAAAGAGCAACTGAGATGAATCCTCAGTAAAAGTAAGAAAAGACGAACGGAATTCTTAAGTCATCAAATTCTGATGAACAAATATATATGTTTGTAGCTTTTCAGCGGTCTTAGACACTCTATGATCCCTAATCAAACCACATCCCTTCTCAAATCTTGCACTCAAGTCTTTCAGCTTCCATCTCATCCTTTCAGCCTCTCAATGAGTGCTCTCTGGGCCTTTTATCAGGAGAGGCTCCATGTAGGACCTTCTCAGGCAATCTGTCATCAGCGATTCTCTGTACATGAGTAGACAATACAGATTGTATTATCATGTCATGAACAACAGTCATTCTGCATTCCTGATTTCTTTCATCGCCTCATTTCGAACGCAATACACCTGGAAATCCAGCTGATTTACGCTAAAAGTTCATCTCTATTGCCTCTGAAACTTCCAGGGTTTGCTGTTTCACTGACCATACTTCACAATTGTAGGTTACTAAAATGTTGACAATAGCACTGTAAATCTTCCTTTTCGACATCTTTTGGTTCCAAAGTACACCATTCAACATGAAAGTAGCTCTTCTGATTCCTAAATTTCCAATCTTATAGTTGAAGTATGAGGGTCTGATACATAAACATCTTAAAAGCACATAAAAGTGACCTGAAAAATAAATTTCTTTCGATGAGTTTTATCTTCACTAAGAATTTCTTGATATGAATGTTAGGTAGGCATACTTACTTGACTCTAAATACATGCTTCTTTTTGGTATAGTCAGAGGCGACTTCAGCCGAACCTCCTCGGAGGTCGATTGGTCCCTCTCCCTTGTAGTATACTTCAGGTGCACTCTTGGCACTCTTCTGATCTTTGTAGAAACATACTGAAGTTCCATGTATACTGACATAAACTTTGTCCCATGACCTGCAAAATATGATATCACGATTGTTATTTCCTTCTGAAGGTACTCTTTAAAAATTAAACGCTGCATAAGAAAAGTTTTTACATTAAATGCATCCATTTTTAAGGTGACACAAAATCAGTATGAGTTAAAATTTATGCGGGTTAAATAAGTATTTCTTTCGTATGCCTTGACATGACTCCTTCATTTTAAGGTCAAACCATGATCTTAAGGTAAGGACCAGGGTGGTGGTAAGGGTCAAATATTGAGCCTATTTGATTCACCTGGATGAAATTAATTCAATTTTCCATTTTCAAATTCAACATTTAAGCCTCAAAAACTGAAAAGACAGATTTCAGGGAAATTTAAAAGAATCCCATTTATCAGAAAATAAATCACAAGTGATGTTTCTGAGAAGAATAAAATTTATGGCGCAAAGTAATGAAATGTGTATAATGCACACTCTCCCCCTTCAATCTTTTACTAGTACAAGATAGTGCTCAAAATTATTTACTCTAATTAAAATTTTTGAACTTTTTGGCCTTGTTTTCCCTGCAGAATAGTGTGGACCCGACACTATTTTACCACCTTGTTACGTACAGTTCCGGCCACATTTCTCATCTTTTTCTCCTCTTTAAGTGTATTATGTTAATCTACAAACTTCCAAGCACTGAAAGCTGGAACAATCTGCTTTAGATTGGTTTCATAAGCAGTGATGATATTTCTTTCGCTAGAAATAAAAGAAAATCATAGAATCTGATGTACTGACCTGTTGCTGGCTTTCTTTGTGGTCGATTCCCATTCATGTTTGCGGTTTAGCACACCTTCCAAGTTTCCATCACCGGAGACAGGACGATCTAGAAGCATAAAAGAATGATTAATGAATACAATCAAACGCATCAGAGGCAGCCATTGATGTATCATCACATATTTTTTGAATTTCAAAATTTAGTACTTCTGCACAGAAAGTTAAGGACCAAATTTGTCAGCAATTTTTTTTTTCAAATTTTAGATTCACCTTTGTCCTTGGTCCAGTTATAAGGTTCCATTCCATTGACCAAATGAGATGTGTGCTAAGAAGGACTAAATGTCACAACATGAAGTGAAATGAGCTCCTTTGTTCCTCAGAGGACAGGCAAATCCATTATAAAACCTTAGTACAGCTACCTCTTTTCAATTTATATACATACCGATTAAAATTGTTATCAAACTAGTAGTGGGTGAAATTACTCTTGAAAAATTTTTTAAGAGGAAAAATAATTTAAAAAATGAAGCCACACATGTTTTCCTTCTTTTGCAGTGATCTAGTCCCAGTTGTCAGAACTTTCAGCGCTTCATCTGACTTGTGTGAGTTTAGTGATTTATGTTAAGTTTCCCCTCCTTCTTGAGTTGACAGTTTCAATTGTCAGCCTGACTCACATATGCTTGAGTCAATGAACAACTCACCAATTTAGTTTGACAAAATGAAAGACAAGATCTGTCTGTCTCAGATTTTTTTTGAAAAAATTATGTTCCTTCCTAATGCAGCAAGGAGTGAAGAGATAGAACCCCTAGCACAGCTGCGAGCAAAACGGCAGTTGTGGTCATGTCACTTAAAGTTAGTGATGGTTACTCTCATCTCTTGGGCAGTATTTTAGGACAGCATACATAGTCTGAGAGGTACTTTGCTGAGAAGAAAAAAAACTTCTTTTGTGATTCGGTGTTTCTGGAGGTAGAATGAAAATTCTTAAACAAGTAGGACTTGGGTCAGATAAGTTGGCTGTAGTTAACTATTTGTTAGCAAGGAACAGCGCTGTCGCCGTTCAATAGCGATTGAGGACTGACCAAGTGGGACGACAACAACGAGTTGCTGTTGCCCAGGCACCGAAAAGAAGTGCCTTTCTCTGATGAGATAGAGCTAAATTTGCCTACTGCATATGACTGCCAGAGGTTAAAAACTACCAACATATATGGCCCAAGTTCTAAAAAGTGCCAGGAGCAAATATTAATTCACAGTTCTTAAAAAGATAATAAGAGTTTGACCAAAGAAAACTGGGCTGAATGAAGAGAAGGAAAGAAAATCTATGACACAGTAATATTTTTTGTTTTGAGAAAATAACAAAAACATTAATTTTGTCATGCAATTACAGATAACTACAGTACTCAAAAAATTTCTCACATGGATTCTAAGTACATTTAAACAATTTGAGGCATGCATTTAATCCACCTAACACATGAAACACTTTTATTCACTAAAAAAAATAAGTGACAGAAAAAGATTTATGTGAGTTTTACCATTGAAACATAACGTTTCTCCTTAGTTGAATCGTCAATCCGAAATGACAATAGACGATCTTTCAGGGATCATCTATTCAGAATTATACTATACTTTGGTCATTGTATCTGAGTATGTTAAAACATATTGAAGGAGAAAGTTACTGAGCTGGTGCCTGACCGCCTCGGCCCAAATAAAAATTCTAGCTGTTAGAACCTGGTCAGGGGGTGTCAGAGGCGTTTCATAATAGAGAACGCTTTTGAAGGTCGAACGTGATCGATGTAATAGACTCCAAGGTGATCTAAAGCTTGTTGCAATATATTTTGTCCATTGCAGGAGCTACTACATAGCGGAGCCCTGGATGAAACTGATGATTATTGTCTTTTAAGAGGCGATGAACTTTCAGAACGGAGAATTTTTGATCCGATACATTATTCTCTTCTGTGATTTATACTTGGAGCTCAAACAACCATTTCAATAGCCGTAACAAACTAGGCCAAACAAAGGCCTGAACATAGGCCAACTAGGCCTCTGTTCAACCTTGTTTGTATTATATTTCATCTTGATTGTATAGATTCTGAAATTACCGAACTTTATATGATCTGATTTTGATCTTCCTGAAGTTGATGGACGTACGATAAAATGAACAAAATTAAGATTCTATGAACCAAAAGCGGGATTTCCTTTTCCCATCCCGAACCAAGGTTGCAAAAGGCGATCTTAAATCTGATGTCACAGTGCTAAATGCTGCAGCGGTTGCAGCAGTTGATGTCAGCTAGCAAATGCAATTGCTTTTATGGATGCATTTTGCAAATGCGTTAAAAAGTCAGCCATAATGACTCATGCATCCCTATAATTGGTTAATTGCGCTGAAAAAGCTAAGTATCTGCAAATTTTCAAACTTATTGGAAAGTCATGCCATGAATAAAACAATTGAGTGCACTCATTTTATAAAAATATCCAGATACATTTCCGATCAACAAGAAACACTCCCCATGTAGATCTTCTACTTTGAGAGACTACCGGGTAATGTGGAAAAAACATTTTCTTTGCAAAACCTAAGCATATTTTTCGTAACACCACCCTTCGAATCTTCTAGGCTTGAATTACAATACGGAGCTTTCATTGAGACAAACGATTTTTCAATTACATAGCAAAAAGGATTTCTATCCGATTTCAATGAAATGTAAATAACTGTTTCTCAACGTTGGAAACATTTCCTGAAAAATAAAAAACTCATAAGTGATGTGACCAATTAATGAGCACCGAAATTTTTTTTACTGACCTGCTGCTCTACCAAGATTTTCTTCATCATCGCTAGCGCTGGCTGTTTGCAAAGCAGTTTTAGGCGCTTTCTTCCAGCGGAAACTTCTAAACGGCGATTTAGAACGTGCACTTTCTTTCTTTCTTGCTAATGAAGCATCTTTGGGACTAAGTCTGGACGCTAATACAACACACATAGTACAAACATAACTCTCTGAACAATACAACAACTATCTCTACAAGCAACAGAAAATCTATGAAAACACTTGACTAGTAATCATGCCAGCAGGCTCCAGGATAGTATTTTAGATTGATTCTGGGTGAATTTTTTTAAGCCTTTGCACTGGGATTATTTTGCCCGGCCATTGGTCCTACATTTGCATTTAATCACATGAGCACAACTGGTAAAGTATTCCTGTTGTCTGGGAGTCGAAACTCAATGTGAAAACAAACCCAGCAAAGATTAGCAAATATTACAGGAAAAAAATGAAAGGGAAGACCAATTGCACACATTTTTTTCAATTTTTGATTACATTGATTGAGTGCTAACGAGCATATTCCATGTATATTGAAATTATTAAATCATTACGCTTTGTAAGATAGAGATTCTTCAACAACTAAGGAATTGAATTTTATCTAAAACACTAACCTGTTACTCATTGTTCTAAAACACATTACATGAAAACTTACGACTTAAGTGCAAAAACATATCTTGTTTGTAGTATTACTAACTTCCTGTTTAGGCTCTAGACTTTTAAGAGAAAGAAAGACAGTTAATAAGTCTCATGAAACCGATGGACCATATGTTTGGTGAGGGATGGCATCATTACATCAAGTCCAAAGAAATTGAATTATACTAGTCTCTCATCCCAAAAAAAAAAAAAAAAAAAAAAAAAAAAAAAAAAAAAAAAAAAAATGAAATATGAAGAGTCACAAACCAAAATACTTGTTTCTGCACTTACTATATTGAGAGTTAAGAAAAAATCACAAATGTCAATTTCATGCGACACTCTAATTAGAACTTAAAGGAAATAAGTAAAAATTCAAAGTGTAATTAATATGATGCATGCATCTATGAATTTTTGAAAGAGGGTGATCTGGTGATAGACCTTATGGAACAAAAATCTAGCTGGTTTAAAATTTATGTGCGAGGAGAATGTGAGAGTTTTTTCTTCGGTTCTATTTTCATTGTAAAAAAACTTGAGAAAAGCTACAATAATCCGTAATTTAGGATTTTTCGAATTTGCATACACTTCTTGAAGTTTGAGAAACAGTCTACTATAATATGAAAAACTTGGTGGGCTACCAAACTAATAGTATTAATTCATGTCCTCTATAAAGTGTAACATTTCATACTAGAAATGAAAAAGTATCAACGGTACAAAGGGGAAAGATAATAAAACTGCAATTTATTCCAGTTAAATACAGAGAAAGTTGGCTACTTTGGTTAGATAGGTTGCAAAACCACGATCAAATTCAGATTACAGGCCTCCGAAATAAAAGAGACAGCAAGAAAAAAGAATATAATTTGGATTATAAAAATGGAGCTTCTAATTTCATGCAGAAAAACAAGATTTTTAAAAGTTTGCAATATATCAAATCATAAATTATCAATCTGTGTTAATCCAACGAGTATGTGACATTTTCAGCAAAAAAGTTTGAAGTTGTACAGGCTTAACCATTAAACCAATTATCAATGGTGTCAAGCAGTGTTCTACCTTCCCTATAAAATTTTAGTAACCACCTCAGTCAAAGAGCACAATTTTTAGGAGCCATCGACAATTTATCAGGGGCCAAGTAAACTTTTTGCAAATGCATCATGCACTTTGCTACTCAACCACTGTGAGTTTGAAAAAATCGATAGGATGCTCCAATTTTTTTAGGCACCAAAATAGCCAAGCCTGATTATTAGGCGCGTTTGACAGATGGCGCCAGGGGGAGACAGAACACTGCTATCGAAATCTACAGAAGAAGATCCTTTGACAGAAAAAATTGAAAACACACGTGAAATAGCCCAAAAATCTTAAGTTTCTGGAAACAGTAATGGTCCAAAGAGAAAATTCTGTGAGAAAACAATAGAAAATGTGAGGTTACAAGCCTTTCTTGTTAAAAACATCACATGCCTACATTGGAGCTTCAGCAAATACTTACGCAGCGTTTTGGTGGTGGACTGAGCCCTGGAGGTCTGAGCAACCGACTGCTGCTGAGGAAGGGTCCGATGAGGAACCGTTGAGACTGGTTTGCCACCATGCAAAACTGACATGCAACAACACGATTCACATGCAAAATGCCATGACAAAACATGCTTCAATGTAAATACACATGCAAAATTGATCATCAGAAACTAAGAAACCGGAAGCAACATTCTCCTTGAATGATTTTCAGGGAGTCTGCAAATAAATTCGCAACTGACAATTCCTCACTTCCTTAAGTTACTACAGAGGTCATTAGAAAACCTACCTAACTTCATTATATATTCAGAAAAGTAGTCCCTCTTTCCTATCAGATAAGATCAAAATAAAATCATGCTCGAATTTGGCTTTTCGCCACCGCCCATGATAGTTCCAGCAGGAAAAACTATGTACCAATAGGGTTTCACAAAAAATCTTCAACTAAGGATGTGCTTTCCAAGCAAGTTTGACCTATTTTTTGACAAATCTAACCAACATGAGTGTTGCTTTGAAGAAAAAAAAAGAAAATTCTGAGAGCATTTGTTTCCTTCTTCTTCTCCTTCCCTTAAAATTTGCCGCTCCTGAGCAACTGCTCAAGTTGCAAACCCCATGAATCCGGGCTTGATTAGAATAAATTATAAAAACCTAGACCCAAGTAAGAAGGAGACACATTACTAAAATTTAGTTTCTGAGGAGGTTAGGGGCTAATTGATAAAATATTCTTCACCTTGGCAAAAGTTTCCTGGTTGGGAAGAAGAAATTTTCATGTAAACCAAGCTTTTTCTTAGCTCCAGTAATTTATGTTACTGACGTAATTCACTTATCTTGGATACAGTGTTTAAACAAAATTTATTGACAAAGTAACCCCCCCCCCCCTTGCAAAAAAAGGAAGAATTTACGGTGACTTTTTTAAGGAGAAAGTACTATTGCAGACACTCTGAAGTTACACAAAGTTATTTAAAAATTGGCTTGCAGTCCTACTACATCATTTTACTAACCAAACAATGCTACAGGGATAGAATTTGATTGCAGATTTATGAATTATTTCAAATTTAGTTAGAACGTGATGAAAAGGAAAAAAAATCAATAGAACATCCATTCTTAACTGAGGTGGAACGGTGAACTTATAGGAGCATTTGTAGACTAACCTGCACTTGGTTTATCCACAGATGAAGAAATGGACAATTTAGTGGGGGGTTTGCGGATAGAAGCTTGCATCAAAAAACAACGATTATCTTAACACAAACTGACTAAGACAATATCATTTTTTACACTGTGACTAAAAAAAACTTCAAAAATTCTTTTGTGTACAAAGCATACAGAGTGATCTGGACCACTCATACGAATGAATTCAAGCACCATGTAACAGTTCCTCTTTAAAATTTTACATAGAAAGAGATTGGCACAGCGAGAAAATTGAAAATCAACTCCAAAGCGAGGTATTAACATGTGTACTTGTCATTAATCAAATGGAACACCAATCATACAAATTACGTCATCTGTATTTTTGAAATTTATCTCATATTAATTATCCATACTTGTATTCTCTCAAGATGAGGATTTTCGAACTTCCTGTTGTAAGAACCATATTCTACGTAAAATTTTAAAAAGAGAACACACGGCAGAGGGTTCTAGTTCCTTCTCAGGTGCCCCATTGAGTCCGATGAAATGTTACTCATTGGTTTCCTAGGGCCAAGTTTTCAAATCTTAACTTCAGAATTAAAGTTCTGAAGGAAACTTGTGATTGAATTTTAACTATGCGACTAAAATTCAACAATGGCTCAGTGGCAAAAGCTTCACAATCATATGACAAACAGCTAGTCAAAAAGAGCTGGTCGCAGATTTTAAATGTTTTAAAACTTGACAACATTTTGATATTTACAGCTTCTTTTGTGTATTGGCTTTCACAACATCAAAAGCATCTAGAGCTTGACAACTGGGATCCAAACAAGATCCAGCAAGCACTAAGCATTTTCACACTATTTTCTTAGTTTCAGTTGAGTAAAAATACCAATAAATTGGATTCGCATTGATTTATATGTCATTAGAAGAATCCAAAAAAAGTCATGGGAAGAATCTATACTTTCTGCAATCTCCTATTTTTCTCAAGAAACCATAAAGAAAATCAATTTTTAACGAAAAAGTAATTGATAATCATGGTTTTATTTGGCACCTAAAAACTTAATAAAGTATTTCTTTTGACTCGTTTGAGAATTTTTTTTTTTTTTTATACATGAATTGTGATGAAAAAGATGAAGAAAATGACTGTGAGATTGCTATTAGTGTTTTAGGGCACCTACCCTTCCGATAAATACTAATTAAAGGGGTTAGTTGTATTATTCTTGCAGTTATTCAGTTACCCTTTTAAAATATCCATAGTTGTTTCAATTCTTGACTGCATATTGAACTTATAGGAACAATATAAATTTGATAAATACATCAACAATAATATTCATTAAATATTCTGGGCGTGAATTAGTAGACAAAATTGGGAAAAAGCGTTCTTGAAATTGATAAAAAACGCAATTAAGACTGAACTTCATGGGTACAGACTGGAAAATTATGAGACCCACCACATCACAGACTACTGAAGTTTAGTTTCGAACTTCACCACAGTTCTTATCATGGTTAAAAAGATTATATGATCTAAGTTAAAGAACAAGAAGAGATCACACAAAGAAACAAAAAACCACGAGTTAAAAGATTCTGAAAGTTACATGACTCCGAGAAATCGCACACCATGACTGAAAAAGAAAACGATCAAAATTCTCAAATCAAGCAAATTTAATGGAGTAATGAGGCAAAACTTACCTCTTTCTTTGTCACCATTGACGCCATCATGTGCTCCATCAGCCCTGTTTGAACAAATTTAAATACATTAAAAACAGAGTATGTAATTAGCAACCTCCAAATGAATTACTGCCCTATTAGCCATTAATGGAATGGTAAACTATAGTGTCAAAAGTGTATATTACATTTTATTGAATGAGAACAAATCAACAACATCCCTTGAAATTTTCACAGATTTTTTTTTGCAGTGAAAAAAATCAAGAGATTTTGGAGAACTGATCTTGAGTGGTTTTTTTTTTTNTAGGACCCAAAAATGGCAGTGCGTTGTTTTGGTCTTTGTGGAAGGGACGGGGGTCATTGCCAACTTTTGACGGTTTTCACCGACCGCACTTACACCTTACTACATCTAAGATAATTTTTCTCAAAAATTGCACACGATCAGCCTTAAAATATGTAAAGAAGTCGCAATAGTGCATTTGGGTAAATTTCTCGTTACGATAAGCAAAGAAAACTACATTTTGAGTCATTTTGCATTGATTAATTTATGGCGTCCGCCATTTTTGGGTCCTAAGCAGGGGCGGACTGGCCATGGGGGCGGGGAGGCGATCGCCTCCTAACAATTTGCCGCGGAGGTCTCGAAGGGGCCCCCGCGGCGAATTTTTTTCAAGTCATCGTTTTCTTCCCCCGTAATGTTGTAATTTTCCTATCCTTTTCAGTCACTAAAAGGCCCCAAAATCCTTGAAAATTTGTCTCTAAGAGACATGAAAGGTCGCCTAGAGCTATGTGATGAAAGAGGCCCCCGAAGAATCCTGAGAATGGGTTATTTTGAAGTTCAAGAACTGTAGAATTTAACTCCAATAATGCGTAAAATTGTGTTTAAAAAGTGTGAAATTTTCAAAATTTTCCGGGGGAGGGCCCCCCGACCTTCTTAGAGGGGCCTCCGAACGCCAGGAGGGGCCCCCACATTTAGGTCGCCTCCTAACTTTTCGACTACCAGTCCGCCCCTGATGAAAAAGATGAAGAAAATTACTGTGAGATTGCTATTAGTGTTTTAGAGCACCTACCCTTCCAATAAATACTAATTAGAGGGGTTAGTTGTATTATTCTTGCAGTTATTCAGTTACCCTTTTAAAATTTCCATAGTTGTTTCAATTCTTGACTGCATTTTGAACTTATAGGAACAATATAAATTTGATCAATACATCAGCAATAATATTCATTAAATATTCTGGGCGCAAATTAGTAGACAAAGTTGGAAAAAAGCGTTCTTGAAATTGATAAAAAACGCAATTAAAACTGAACTTCATGGGTACAGAATGGAAAACTATGAGACCCACCACATCACAGACTACTGAAGTTTAGTTTCGAACTTCACCACAGTTCTTATCATGGTTAAAAAGATTATATGATCTAAGTTAAAGAACAAGAAGAGATCACACAAAGAAACAAAAAACCACGAGTTAAAAGATTCTGAAAGTTACATGACTCCGAGAAATCGCACACCATGACTGAAAAAGAAAACGATCAAAATTCTCAAATCAAGCAAATTTAATGGAGTAATGAGGCAAAACTTACCTCTTTCTTTGTCACCATTGACGCCATCATGAGCTCCATCGGCCCTGTTTGAACAAATTTAAATACATTAAAAACAGAATATGTAATTAGCAACCCACGAATGAATTACTGCCCTATTAGCCATTAATGGAATGGTAAACTATAGTGTCAAAAGTGTATATTACATTTTATTGAATGAGAACAAATCCACATCATCCCTTGAAATTCTCACAGAATTTTTTTTGCACAGTGAAAAAAATCAAGAGATTTTGGAGAATTGATCTTGAGTGGTTTTCTTTTTAAAAAATAAAGTATGACAGGAAGTCTGCGACGTCACAAAACCAATATTTGTTGTTTGAAAGTTTCACTGGCGATGCTCATTATGTGGACCACATTTTGCAATTAAGAGCTACTATTTGTGGCTCATACAGAAAAGAACCCAACTGCATGAGGTAACTGATGGCATAAATACTATTTCTACGGAGAGCCAGAAAAAATAGCTCCACCTTGCAAAATATTGACTGTTTAAAGGTGAACTTTTCATGCTTTTCAAATCATAGAAAAGATAGAGGTTTTCACCCCAGAGGATGATTTGGCTCTGAAAAAAAGCAAAAGCTCAAAACAAAACTATACTAAGACTTTTTTGCTCTTGACTTGAGGGAGAATGTTATGCACTTACGTATCTTGAGGTGAAGGTGGTTTGGCTAACTCGGCAGCTTTGGCTGCTTCTTCTTCTTTCTTTTTCAGTTCTGCTTCTTGTTTCTTCTTTAATTCTTTCAATTCAAACTGAGATTTAGAGGAACAAAGAATATAGAATTAGTTTGACACACTAATAAAAAGTGCAAATTTGAAAAAAAAATTAATTTCAGTCTATTATAATAACAGCCTATTCTGCAGCTAATCGATTAAATGAAGTATATTGTCTCTGTCAATAGAAGACTTGAATGAAAGTAATTTTCGTAGTAATAGTGGTAGTAGTAAAAGTAGTAAAGGTAGTGGTAATATTTGTCAGGTCTCTGGAAGGACCTGCTCAACAGTTACGAGATGCACACTAGAAGATGCAAATTCTGAACAAAAAATCAAATTCAACATACGCACTGACTGTGGTTGTTGTTAAACATTGGACTACCAACCTATTTTCGGTTCGACTCATGTTTTTTATCCAGCGCTCCGAAAATTAGGATCAATTAATTAAAAAAGATTATCGATGTAAATGAACATGAGAAAAAATTAGGGTACAGAATAAATCAATGTCACTTGTGAAAAAAATGTATTAACTCTAAGTCTTGACATAAAAACTTGAGAGCTCCATGACATTACCAAACGTAAACAATTTGAATCATTTAATGATTTTTGTCCGTCATAAATTTTTTGTAAACCATCACAAAAACTTTCAAAGAGCTGTTAAAAACGATTAGTGAGTAATGGCTTGACTCACCGTTGTTAATCTTTCAAGAGCACTAAATCTTTCTTCTTGTGCAGTTGCAGACTTTTCAAATGCTTCATGTTTCTTGATTAGATTTTCTACATCATCGATGGTGTGCTGAAAAGTAAAGAGGTTCAATTATAAAAAATGTAAAATGGCAAGATATACGTACAATTTAAAGGTAAAAAATACATTAAAGTCTAGAGTTTAATTGATAAAAATGTGAACAGTAAATGTAACTTTATCAAATTGAATTGAGAAATAAATCAAATTGAGATTTCAGACAGGAGGGTAAAGGAAAAACTTCAAATCTTCAAGCTGAATGAAAATATTTCTTTGAGGTTCTTTACAACGACAACGTTTGGAATACGGTACCAGAATACAGCAGCAAAGATTTTGGCTTAATGCAGTGCTGTGTAACCAATGTAAAAGCACTGATCAAATCTAATACCTAAAAACTTAATAAAGTTCCAGATTTTTTTTTCATTGTTCCTCCCAAAATTTTCAGCTATATTATCAAAAAACTTCATAGTATCCAAAAATAGGAGACAGTTCCTAAAAAGAAGGTTTACTGGTCGAATAGTTTCTTGGAATTTTGAAATGAAGGAAGAATGATTTCAACTGCGTCTGTACCAGAATAGAAAGTCTGACTTGAATCTTTCAGAATAAAAAAAAAGAAAATTGCAAGAAACTTACTCCTAGTTCTATACTCATGAGATATGGTTCTTGCGCTAAGAGCCAGGCTTCAGCAACGGCAGCGTCACGGGCGAACTGATAAACTTCCAAGACTGAAAAGTAAAGAAAGAAAAGATGTTGAGTTCTGGGATTTATAGCTATCGAAATAACCTTGAGACATTAGTGCACTAAGACCCCAATATAAAATGCTTAAGTACACGTTTAGTGTTGTTCAAAGTCAACTCCTGTTATTTTTACAACCCACTGAGCATAGTTTTCAGTAACTTTCATAGCTCGCAGTTGTTTAATCTGATGTGGATATTATTGAAGACAAGGCTATTATTGGTCTATTGACCATGAAAATTGGCTTAACATATTTCAATACTTCATGTAATACTACTAAGAGCACATGCACAAATCAGACACAAAAACATGTCCACATGGCAATGTTGCAGTAGCGAGGGTGGTATGGTAGGCACTCCGAGTGGACGCTTAGCCACAGCTGAGACATGATCTAGACGAACAAACCCAGTCTAAAATCCACTCCGGAAAAAATGATAAATTAGAACTCATTGTCAGTTAAAACCGTTTTGGCAGAAATTATACGTAATACCTTCATACCAAAGATTATAAAACTTGAAATAAATCTACATTCAAGTCTGATGCAAGATATTTTTCCTTGTTTAATTTGAGTTGTCTCCTTCAAGATGCTTCAAGAGAGAGCTGTCAAAAATAATCCATTAAACCCTTCATCAAAGTAATAAAACGAAAAAATTAACTTACTCAACTGAAGGTGCTCCCACCGTTCTTCCCATCGGCTCATTAAGGCATTCCTTTCATCTGTTAGACTCACAAGTTTTTCTTTAATCTGCAAAATTAGAGAGTTATGAGTGAACAACTGATTGAACACGGCTAAAAAATTTCATAATTCACTTAAATACAAGCCAGCAGAGGCCTGCCAAGGTGGAGAGAGGAAATGGGTTAGGAGCTGAAAGGGACCATAATTTTCTTTGAAAAATAAGCTCTTCCACACACAAAATTTACAAGAAATGATTAACGTAAGAGAGTAAGCCCCTAAATTAGTGAGGTAACAGTAACTTACTGCTGGCTGGAAAAATAGAAAATTCACTTTTCAAGCTAACTTTTAACCTATTTTAGCCATGCAAAGAATTTTTCTCCGTGATCGAAGCACACTCTGACAAAAATACAATATACTGGTAGTTGATAATCTTGCAGTACTGACAGTATCTGCTGCGTACGTAACTTCATAAAAGCATATGGAAGCTTGAGCAGGAAATATACACAATACTGCAAAATGAGGAACTTCGAACTTGGTTCACGATACTTGCTTCTTGCAGCACAAGAGCTCTTGGAAATGTTAATGCAGGGGTGAAACTCAAACCTACCCAGAGTAATGGTATGCTTTTAAGATAATTTATTTTCGTACATCACAAAAATATGGAGAGCATAAGTCATTGGCGGTTACTTAAGAGATGAATAGAATCATACAATAATGTTCTTGAAGGGTTGTTCATTTAACAGATCTCATTCGTAGACCCGAAAATGTTTGAAATGAAAATCATTTTCAGCAAGCCTCACCTCAGATGAAGCATAATGGGTTCTAGATAATAGTTCCTTTCCAAGAGAAAAACAACTGGTGAAATTGGAATCACGAGCTTCGATTTCAGCTTTCAGACTGCGGTGGTTGTTCATCAGCAGCTCTACACCACTCACATCCCTAAGAATAAGAATTTGACAAAACAAAGATTAGAAAATTATCATCAAATAAAAGAACAGAGAAAAATATAAATTGAGACATGAAAGGATCCCATTTTAAGCGCTACAGCTTCAAAAATATTTGGTATTTTGTAAAAAATTAATTAAAACATTCTTTTCAATTCTTAGGACGAGAAAAAGTTTCAAGAGCATGGACGTTTTGATTTTACAATTGCGCGGCATAAACTGCTCACTTAAATTTTCAGCCAATAAAGTATGGATAGAATACCTAATTTAAAAAAATTGAAGGATTTGGTAAATTTTTTACACTCAGTATTACTTGAAATTGTGCAAAGAGTTAGAGATTGTTGTACCTTGGTTTCTCTGTGTGGTTCATCTGGTTGATCATGTCCGTCATCCACAGCATAAGCATGCGTACCATGGCCAGGAACTTAAACAGATCTTCTGTGTCTACCAACTTCTCCTTTCGCGCTTCACATGCATTCTGTAACGACGTCCATGAGTTGACTACTTCTGCTTCTCGGTTTGTTATCTCCTTAGCTTTTTCGCCTGCATAGGAGGCTTGTAGCTTCTGCGATTCCTGTTGGATATTTCGCACCTGACAAAGGAAAACAAAATTGTTCAGAAACAACCAATCATCTAATAGTTTGGGAGGAAACCAAATTTTTTAACATTCACATGTAAAAGTGAATGAATTCTGCAAAATAGTAATTTTTTTTTTTTTCTTTCTTTCTTTTTTTCCAGTATAAGACTTCATCTACCTTAATCAATCTGTTTTAGGATATTTTTTATACTCAATGGAATTGATCAAGAGCTTTTCCGTCAAAATTTATTACCTGAGATTGGAGTGTTTGAAGATCTTGCATGAAACTATGATGTTTCCGCAGAAGGGTTCCGACGGTGCCAGCATCACGTCCGAGCTCATCTGACATTGCGTGCCATTTCTCAGAAATTCGGCCTAGGATGTCTTTACAATCGTGGAAGAATTTGTGCAACTCTCGAGAGGCAACTAACATCTGAAAGAACAAGAAAAAAAGTTATGAGAAAAATGAGTTAAATACTTTTACTTCCGTAATGTTTCACTCCTTTGGGTGAAATTAAGAGACGTAACATTCAGAGTAGTTGACAGTATTCTACTTTTTGCCTCAGGGCAACAGAATTTTTTTCAACCCCGAAAAACTTCTTTTGGCGCTGACGCTCCTTTTCTTCTCAATCATTTACGTAATTTAGCCTGTTTTCTGTAGAGTATTATCAAATTAATTCTTGAGTAAATCAACTTTGGTGGCAAGTTCTTAGAGAGTAATTTTAAGAAAGAAGTCTAAAAAACAAAGTTAATAGTACATGAGCAAAAACTTAATTATATTGTTGCATTATTTGCAATATAAGCTGAGCATACTAAAACATCAGATCAATAAATTCCAAGCATGAAATAATCATTTTACTTTCATATGATTTATCAAATGCCCATGGGTACTCTCTGCTCATGTTCTCTTAAAATGTTCACAAAATTGGAATGCATGTCTGATAGATGTCCAATTTTGGAAGAAATAAAGGATTTGAGAGAGATGATTGCTTACCTGAGTCCTTGTATCGATTAATTCGAGCAGATCTTGCCACAATTCATTGAGCTGGTCCTTGAGTTCCGCAATCTTGGCTGAATCGCTATGGCCATTCGCAATAAGATCGTCTGCAATACCATTAACGCTTGCGACTCTTTCTGATCCTATTGCTTCTGTATCTCGGGCAAACTCTTTGAAGCGCTCCCAAAGAAGCTGAAAAAAGGAAATGAAAAATCCAAACTTACATTTTCGTTTCATTTGTGAGGATTGAATATTTACAAGTCTTTCTCCCCCAGGAAATTGGTAAAAAAAAAAAAAAACCACGCATGAATGAGATTATTACTTTTTTAGTTTCTCTAAAATACCATGAAACGAAATATTTTTACAGGCGCAAGGATAAAAATTAATGTGAAAACTCTATGATATAGGCACTCCTCCTTCTCTGAATTGAGCAAGATAATCCCTCACTTTAAGACCAATTTCAGACACTGAGATGCAAGTAATTACAATGAAAGAGTCAAACTCTCTGAACATAATAAAATCTAGATACTGATGTGATTGGAATAAGTAATATGACCTAAAATAATCGTAAAAAAAACTTAACATGCATCACGATGGTACAAAAGACCACTTTGAAACTTTGAAATTAGCCATGATGTCGCTAAGAGTTGCATAAAACAGGAGGATTAAAATCAAAAGCTACTCACTGTAACATGATCGTAGTCTTGGCCTAGTTCTTGTGAGCTGGCAACAAGCTCGCGCTCTTGGATCCATTGTTCCAAGTCATCTACTTCTCGCTTCAGGACGAATAGTTTTGAACCTTCTTCCAGCTTTGCTCTCCTTTCTCCTGCGAGATCCTTCAAACCGGCGTACAGTTTGTCTACTTGAGATTGTTTTACTGCTATTTGGTCGCTGAAATCATGTCAAACATTGTCACGATATAGTCAATGGACCAAGTATAAGACTGAAAAACAAGTATCCTTGAAAACCAAAGAATTAGTAACCCTTGCTGCTTATTGAAAGTGTGAATGGGAAATTTAAGCAAATTTTCCCAGTAACTTAAGTGAGAGCTCCGTTCAGATTTTAGGAGATGTTGAACAGAGAGAAAAAAAAAAACTTTGATAGGTTTGTTTGATCTGCAAAACCATGCATCATAATAATTTTTGTTGAGCATGTTGTGAGCAACTAGACGAGGTTTGAATTCAAGCATTTCCTCCTACTTCATCTAATCGAAAATTTTGAAGCCAACAAAGCAAATGAGACGAAATTGAACATTACATTTTTAAAAATTTTGAAAATGTTCTTTGTTCAAAATTCATCTGATAAAAATTGTAAAAAATGTTTAAGTAGACATTCCACATTCATAATTATTCTTTCCCAACCTGTAGTTGAAAAAAAGTTGATTTCTACTGAAAAGAGGAAAATCAGGATCTTAAAAGGAGAACTTAACCACATTCCAAGCTAAGAGGGATTAAAACGGTATATTTACCTCTGAGGGTGCATTTCTGCTGTGAGCAACCTTGCTACTTCGCCTAACTGTCTTACATTGTCTGCGTAATGTTCCACTTCCTGCTCCAATCGTTCGTGTTTCTTGATCAAGTTTTGTGTCGAGATTTCATCTTTACCGCGGTCTTCAACCATCATGTAGAGCTCTCGTTCACTCATCCAGCTCTCCGCCTCACTTGCATCAAACAAGTACTGCAAAAAAATATTGTGAGTCATATCGAATCTAGTGAGGATCTTCAATTAGGAAGGACCTTGATCGCTTCAAAAACTCAAGATTCAAAAAGTGTGGGGAAAATTTGCACTGTTTGAAAAGAAAAGTTAAAAAGTCCGGCTAGGTATTTGCGGAACTTTGAATTACAAGTCTATGATATCTGAAAATTAAAATTGACACATTCCTGATTGCATTTGAGCAAACCGAAAAAAGTCAATTTCCAAAATTTTAAGAAAAAAGAACCAGCCGGAATCAGAAAATTCACTAGTACTTGCTATTTCACTAACTTTCATTATTATGACTTTCACTCTTCAACGTTGGGAGAAAATTAGGTTCTTGATAAGAAAAATGTTCAAGATAGGTGCCAACATTTGTAGAAATTTCAGGCAAGGGAGATAACTTTTCAGACAAATGGGATAATAAGCCCAAATAAGAGATTATAAATATGATAGTACTTGACAAGAATCATGACTAAAAACCCCCCTGAAATAAAGTCGTTTAAGTATCTATTCAGTAGAAATTAAAATTTGCATAAAAAAAGATGTAGGGTCTAAAAATTGATCGATGATGATTTAAAATATATTAGTACCTGCTGAGCTTTTTCTGACTGAAGTAATTGACTAGCCCTATGTTCCACTGCATCGCGCAATTCTTGCCAGAGAGAGTGAAGTTGGTTGATGAGTTCCATGAATTCTTCTTTATCCTCATGACCTTCATCTACTAGTTTCTGTCCATTTCTGCACACAGCGTTGATACGTGGCACATGGTTCTCTATTTCATTGCTTAAAGACTGAAAATAAAAATGTATCGTGTTTAGTGCTAAGGAAAAAAACAATTTCCGTCAAATTCTGACAGTCTGCATAGACAGAGCTAATACAATACTTCAAATTGGAAACATGCATTAAAAGAAAGAATAAGTACATATGAACTTTTATATTTCTTCATTGTCATTCTTCAAGGTAATAATTTTCAATAAAATGCAATAGACTTTTATAAGTGAAAAAGCACTTTCGATTTTTTTGGATCACCAAAAAAAAATGATGATAGTGAGTAGAACTAAGTGCTTCTACCGAAGTAGATACTGTGAAGCGTAAAAACATACCTGATTCTTTTTCTTCAGCATATTAACATTGTACAAGCTGTTTCCATATTCGGTTGATGTTGCCAGCGGCATTTTCTCTTGAATCCAGAGTTTCTCGTCCTCAACATCTCGTCGGAACTGAAATGAGAATAAACACGTTTATTTAATTGATGTAATTGAATGATGAAAGATATTGTGGCATCTACAAACTCGGCACAAAAAAATTCCCAGTCTTTTCAAAGTTTTCCCTGACCAGTAAAGTTAAAATTCCCTGACTTTTCGCATCGATAATTTGTACGCGTGGCGCAGGAAATACAAAATTTCATAAAATTTCCTGACCTGATAAAACTCCCTGTTTTCCAGACCTGCTAACCCCCTGTCAAAATAGATTTTGATATTACCAAAATGTGGAACTTTACCTCAACTGAATAGAAAGACCTTACGATTAAGAACAAATATTTTAGGGGAGCATTGACTGAACTGTGATGAAACATGGTATTTTCAAAATGCTCTTAATCTCTTAGGACTGTTTAAATGTAGATTCTGGTTGATGAAATGCTTTAAAGGGAAGTACAAATATCTTACCTGGAATGCTTCTTTCTTCTTTTCAAGCAGTTTCTGTCTCTCCAGAAGTGGAGCTTTGAGCTGTTCGAAACGTTCTTCGACCTGTTGTTTCTTGGCACGAATGTCATCCATCTTCTCCGGAACTGTTTTCTGCAGGTGTTCGGCTTGTGTTTCAAGTTCACCAACCTGTTTAGCTTTCACAGCCATTTGCATCTCGATCATCTGAGGCAAAATAAAAAATGCAAAATAAGTTAATGTCATAAGCGAGGATAAAAAGTTTGAATTTTAACAAGGTTGCCTCACACATACAAAAATCTATGAACAGCAATAGGAAACAATTGGTGGTTTTGCGGCAGAGTTGGGCGTGAATGATTTGGCAATTACTGAAGTCGGTGCGGCAACTCTGACTAGACGCTGCGTCCTCAGAATTCTTTCAATACTATCAATCGTCAAATTATTCATCCAATTGACAATTGATCCGATGTTGCTCATTGACCAAATAATTCAGAATAGTTTTTTCCCAACTCGGATCGCCAATTATACTTTATGCGACAAGTAAAAATTTTCATGCGTAAGGAATCTAAAAAAATGTTAGAAATCTAAATATTTTTTTGATTTTCTGTTCTTGGCGATCAATTAAATAGGGAGACTGGTGCTTGGTGTCAATTGTGATGAGCCTTTCATAAGAATTGGAAATCAATCCACATATTTTTTTGAGAGGGAAGGAAAAACAAAAAATTCATCAATAAAGTCAATTTGTAGTCTTCAGAGAGAATTCCTGTTTTTCAAAATCTTATAAAACATAAACTGCTATGATAAAAAGAAGACAAACCTGTTGTTTCTGCATGAGAATGTTGACAGAGGCCAAATCTGAACCATGATCATCAGTTGAGATCTGCTTCTCTAGCTCCGTCATCCAGGAGTCAATGTCATCGCACGTCTGATGAATGAGCACCTCTCGGTTGGCATCGAACAATCGTTCGCCTTTATCTTTGGTTGTTACTTCAAGATCATCGAAGGTGTTGCCAAGATCTGCTATCTTCGGTCCAATGAGTTCTGCTAGTTCTGGTTTCTCTTTCATAATCTCCTCACCAGCCTGAAATGGAGAAAGATCATTGGTTGATTAAATTCTATGAATCAGTGTTTCATAAGCTGCTGAGAAGAAAAGAGGGATGGAGGGGTTGCTCACGGCCAAGTTTAAACTTGCATGAATATTGTTACATACCAGGGTGTCTAAAATTTCATTTTGGATTTTCCTGATACTTTAACAGAAATTACCTAATTTTTCAAGCAAATGATTTTACAAATCAACGTACTTCATTAATTAAATCAAAGTCACTTTTCCTAGCAATCTGCATGAAGTTGAAAAATGCTGGATGCCCTCGGAATTTCCTGTCCCATGACCAATTTAGCTGATGTTTCCTGATGACATCAAATTTTCCGGCATATTCATCGTTCTCCGGTTTTTAATGATGGTAAACACCCTGCTTACAGTAAAAAGCACTGTTTTCTGTGGTGATCATTGGCAATTTGAGTTAATCAATGTAATTAGGAAGCCAATGTATCAAATACTGAGGAAAGGAAAGATGGAAAGGAAATAGGATAAAAAAGGAATTAAATATATCATTATTATTTTCTGATAAAAATAGCCCTTTTTTCCCACTGCTCGTTTTTTGGTATTACTTTTTGTCAAGCTTGAAAGACAACAACGCACCTGTTGAATCCGGACAAGTCTGTCTTTATTAGACGCAATTTCTGCTTCAAATGCTTGATGGCGCGTCCATTTGCTGTGCACTGTCTTGGCGCTGCGGTATGTTTCATCTGTTGCGGTGAATTTCTTTTCCTGAACCCATTCACCCAGCTCTTCGCAGTCCTGAAAAGAAAGAGGAATAAATAATGTTACAAAAAGTTCATTTTGTTCTTATGAGGGGAAAGTGGGGTCGGCATACTGATAAGTCAGTTGAAAATAACAGAAAAGAGAAAGAATAAAAAAAAAATTATTACTTTCCAGTGTTTTAATAAGTTGGGAGGTAAGTCTCAATTCTTCTTTCAAGTTAGCATTTGAACAATTTTTACTGATGTTATCGGAAGATGTCAAGATTCTATGAACATTTAACTATAAGAGTTAGTGATAGATTTTGATTAAAATTTAATAGAAAGAACATGACAAATGAATGCTATAATTCAAACTTTGTCGGCTAGAACAAGTCCTCACTTCTTCGTACACACATAACAAAAAAAAAAAATGATACTGAAGTGAAAAAAAAATGCCTTATAAATATTTATTAGAGAATAAAAAAAATAAAAGGAGAAAAGAGGTATGTCTCACCTGCAAAAATTGATGCAGTTGCAGTTGGTCTTTTAGCTTGTCCATCATTTCTAATGCTCTCTGTTTGTTTAGGTTACGTCTTTCGTTCAATGATTCAGCTTTCTTTTTGCATTTTTCGGCTGCAAAAATAAAGTACACACATCATTAGGGCGGCTGTTGGACACGCTAATACAGGTCATGGCAAGATTCACGCTTAGAATGAAAAAAATTTCCAATTTTTCACTCTTTTTTTATAGAGGTTTCTACAAGTATACTGAGTTTAAAAATTAATTTGCTAATAAAGAACATTTTTCATATAAACTGAAGGTTTGTTAAATGTAATTTCAGTCCAAGGGTTTGAAAAATCACAAAACAAAGTTTACAATGACTGATGTACCATTTTTGATTGACTGATCATAGAGCTAGAAAAGATAATGAAAGGAATTGAAACACAAAAGAGATGATGTTACCTTCAGGGTGTTCTTGTTTCTCTAGAGAATCAGCGAATGTAAGGATTTCATTTAGTTTCTCATCATTAGCTTCAATGGTGGTGAGGAATGCTTCATGTCGCTTGATTAGATTTTCTGCTTGCTCAAGGTTGACCTAAGGGGAAAAAAGTTTATAGTTAGGGAATTGAGGCTTCATTCTTGGTGAAGTAGTACTTAAGTACCAATGATACCTACTGAAACCTTCCGGTAAAGGCAAATTAACGGAGAATATTGCAGGAACACAGCAATCAAAAGAGGCAAAACATTTTAAATTGCATAGGCATCTTCATTGAGACGGAAAAAAAATTAAAGACTCAGTTTTGGCAGGGAATTTCAAAAATTCAAAAATGAAGAATTTACTGTTACTGAAACTACTTTCTCTCCCAAAAAAAGTTGGACACGCAGAGATTTGATTCAATCCTCTCCGAAATTATTTTTTGAACTATTTAAATAAAAGTTTATAAATATTAAATTTCCCCCTATTTTCAGATTTACAAGAATAAAAAAATCATGAACTTTTTAGGAAACCAAGAGGCAATTATCTTACAGGAGTATCGTCCTTGGACAAGACGTGTTCTTGTTGCGACAAGAGCACTTCTCCTTGACCGGCCAGCTTCTGGAACAAGTGGAGTTGGAGTGACTGACTGAGCAACTTTCGTCTGTTGGCGTGCATCTGATGTAACTCTTCCCAACCATCCTGCAAAGCCTTCAGACGTTCCCTCAGGAACATGTATTGTGGGTCATTCTGCGATGGATCCTACAAACAAACATGAGAAAATTATGAAGATTTCTTTGTAACTGCATACTGAAGAGACTTCTATCGATTCGTATTATCACAATATGTCATAGTAGACAGTGTTATCTTTGAACGCATTTATTCTCATGTGACTGACGCTTTGCCTTCATCTTATAACTGCAGCTGTCAAAAGTGACATTAGAATTCTCACCATTGTTCTCAAAAATACCAGTGCTTCCTTAAGGACCTAACCTAACCTTCCTTAACCTAACCTTAAGGATGCATTCATAATGTGCTTTCGGGTATGCAACGATAGATGATTCAATCGTTTTCAAAAAATTTCTTTCAAATTGACTTCAATCAGTAATTGAAACCATAGTTTTTAAGTCATAAGTTGATGTACCAAATATGATTTTATTAGTAGGTCTTTCCTCTTTCCTCTGATTTGCGTCCAATCATCATTCTTAAACATATATCGATATTTAGTCAATAAATCTGTTATCAATACTCTGATTTCCAGTATTTCAGTTTTCAAGATACTGATTTTTAATAAGTAAGATTCACTGGAATACTTAATTCAATCTCCACTTCACCAAAATTAAGGTGTTTTCCCTCAATAGTCTCAGCCATTTCATTCAATTAGTCCCTTTGATGTACGCCAGTAAAAATTGAGTGAAGTCAAACAGAAATAAAATGCCAGAGTTATAGGATGATAATAATAATTTCACGCTTCTTACAGCAGTTAGTTGCTCTCCATAGTGCATCATCTTCTCGTAGCTATCTTTGTAGTTGTTGATCTCTCCAAGAATGATGTGGTGCTGAATGATGAGTTTCTCAGCATCTTGCAGTGAGGTCGGAGTGTCCTCAGAGGCAACGTCTGTTTGCGTCTTGGTCAGCCATGCCTGGAAATGATCCAAGTCCCGCAAGAATCTGTGCAGGTCACCTGCTTCTTCCAATTTTGCGTCACGTTCTTTCAGCTAAAAAGAACAAAAAGCAAAAAAACGTTAGGGTTTTCCAGATGTATTGTCCAAATTTCGAGCAACTAAAAATTAAATTAACTAAATTTAGAAGATAATTGTTTAAGTGATTAAAATCTTAATAGTTCATTCATCTTGATTAATCTTGCGAAGAAAAAAAATTAGGGAGGAGAATGGATCCAACCACACAGAGTAAAATTTCTGACTAATTTGAAATTGGCTGAAACCTTACATCATGAGTCAACGAAATTTTAATTTGGAAGAAGTAACGGGGAGAATGGACAATCTTCAGTTTAAGAAATTTTGATGAAATGATTAAAAGGCTAATGAAGATGAAGAGATTTTGATGTGGTTTTTTGCGAAACAACATTTAATCTCTAACATCATGAAGTATTAAGCTGAACAATAAACTACATTAATAAAGATAGTAAAATTTTGAACTAACCATTTGTGTGAGCTGTTCCCAGATGACTTGAATCTGTTGGATTCTCTCCCGAATTGCCTCAGCTTCTTCAGGGTGTTCGTTACTGATGGTTGCTGCTTCGCTCTCTAGCGAATCCAGTTTAGCTTGGATTGCAGCTAAGTCACGCTCCATTCCAGATAAGCGACGCTGAAAAACACAAAAGTATTGTTAGTCAATTATCAAATCTGAGGTGAGCGGACTCATGAAAAAGCCAAAAAATTTAAAATTTTCTTTCCAGAAAAATACTCGATAACCTTTGAATATTGATGTTTCACTTTTTTCGAGTGAATGGTTTACAATTGAGTCGGGACCCTTCTTTTTATAATTAGTTTTCAAAGAGTATTAAAAAATATGAAGATATTCGTTTTTGAAACGATCAAATTTTCATTGAGAGTTCAACTGTCAGAGTTGTTGACTAGACCTCATTTCAAATTAAGGAATCCAGTGCAGATTTCATAACAACTACAGCACAAATAGCATCTACTATGTTACCATTATCATTTTCCACATAACATCTTGCACTTCAGATAGTTTGTTAAACCTTAAAAAACTTGGTTTTTTCTTTCCTCACAAAGAACTGTTGGCTGATCAAAAAATAATGCAGCAACTCTATGATGTCATTTCTCTGAAAACTAAACTAAAATCTGAAAAGAGGAAAAATTTAACGTACCTGTAGGGTCATGATACCAGTTAAGTCCATTTCAAGATTGTCTGTTGATTGGAGGATACGTTTCTTGTCTTCAATCCAACTCAATGTCTCACGGCACTCAATGTGGAATGTTTGTACACCATGAGCAGAGTTCAACTCTTCTCGTTTGGCTTCTGCCTTCTCTCTTAATTCTGCCCATTCATGGTTAAGCTAAAAAGGGAAAAATGAAAAACATTAGTAACTTTGGACGTAAAACAAGAAAGTGGCATCAAAAACAAATTTGAAACGTTGGACTGTCCAAAATGTATTGCTTTTTCATCAACTTTTCAATAGAATTGTTGTGACTTGTTGGTTCTAACTTTGATTGTTCTAATTAGAGATGAACATTTAATCTCTATGATACCAAATAAGATAAAAGGAAGAAAAAACTGGAAAAGTACTTATCAAGCCTACAAATTATTTTCCCTTTTTTCCCCCTTTTAATGACAAGTAATTTTAAAGCATTTTAAAACCTCCCAAAATTGTGTGGCCCTAAAATATAACTGACTGTGAGTACTTAATGCTCAAAAAATCTCCAGTAATTATTTTTTGGATACATATAATTTGAAATCAAGAACCACATAAAAGTTTGAAAGAGTGAAAAAATACCGGAACGGTATCAATACCTTATTCTGACGAGCGAGGATTTCTTGTGAGTTGGGGTGTTCGACATGCAGCAACTGTCTTGCAAGCTGGTTGACAACAGCAACGCGAGATGCATTGTTGTTCATTTCCTTGTCAAAGCCAGCATAACGGTGGCGCATAACTTCGACATCTTCAATATCCTTTGCTGGTTCCATAGTGTTCAACATACGATCCTGAAAAATTTTGATTACAGAAAATAAATAAAAAGCAAGTGAGCCCTACCATGTGACGCCCTAACTGTAAATGTGATCTCAAAAACCATCGATAACTAATTGGCCAAAGATCTCACCCACATAAACTACTGCCTACTCTTGAAAAACTTATTTTTCTTTGCATGGAAACCTGTCATTAGATAATCATACAGTTATACACATCTTTTTCATACCATTCTACTCTTATATCTATATTTTTCATCTATTTATTTCATCTATTTATACTATTCTATGGATGTTCACTTATTATTGACCGTATTTATATAATACAGTGTCAACTAATGTACCTTCAATGTTACTACCATCAGTATAAGAATTTTCGATGGTATTCTCTCAGTTTGACTGAACTTGAATTTTTAACGTAAATTTATTAAATTTTCTAAAACATAAGCTGGATATAAAATAACAAAACAACTTTTATCATCTTTGATGCGTCATCACTTGTATTGAGCCTATGTAATACTGTGACTGCCGTAGGGACTCAGTTAAAAATATTATCAACATAAAATTACTTTAGCTTCAGAATCTTCTGCGTCAAATTAATGAATTAGCAAAGTATCATGATATAATTGGCTCTCACCTTCTCATTGATCCATTGTTCCACACCATCAGCTTCCGAGAAGAGCTTGTACAGTGACAGCGCATCAAGCAAGCGCTGCTTGCGTAGCTGCGCCAGCTCAAGGAGCTCTTTGTATCGGTGATCGATAGATTCAAGCCGCTCAACAACTTCCGGACATTTGCGGTCCTGTTCGCCGAGCTGTGATGCCTGTTGATGGAGTGCCTCAATCGTGCTTGCGTAATTCTTAAGTTCATCTGTGCCATCCTTGTGTTTTTTAAGCAGTGATTGGACGTTGGCCTCGTCGCGACCAACATCTTCAGAAGATACCAAACGGAGCGTGTCAAGCATCCAGATGTCCACATCATCTGCATCGGCGAAGAACTATAAAGCAATAGGAGTGTAATTCAGATAGAAGCAGAATAAGTGCAAAATGCAGATTGAAATGAGAAGTGTAAAATACAGACCATAGCAAAGAAAGTGTGACAATGTAGATCAAAGCAAAAAAACATGATATACCATCAAAAACACACACAAATCCAGGATGTGCCAACTTAAGTTTGAGCAAGAAAGATTTAAAAAACAGGTAAGTTTGACAAGAGATGTGTCTTCGCAGATTTGACGATTTTCAACAACTTTTTTCAATAGAATATTTAAACAATTTTGGGAAAAATTACTAACACAAAGCGATAAACCAATTTTGAGTAAAAACTTACGAAAAAGTTATCAGAAATCTACTGCATGAAAAAGGAATATACCTCAGCAGTAAAATTGATAAGGTTACATAAAATAGGTCATTAAAGCGAAATGTATGAACTCCTTCTGAATAGTTTTCAAGACTCATTAAGTAAAAAACATTCCGCGCAGTTTTTCAACACCTCAAACTGTAACCATCATATTCAAATGCCTGTCAGCTCCACTTATGTGCTTGCATTGCAACAACTATGTAGCATCTGTTTTCTGATCTCGTTTTTGTACTCTACTTCATTAGAACACATGGTTGAATACAAAGTAACGCAGGAGCAGAAAAGAAACGCAGGGTCTCATTATTGATAGGCGTCTGACCTATTTTGCAACAGGTCACTGTTTATGGGAAATATGCATGGCTTTTTTTCAACAGAAGACAAGCAAGAATCCGAAGAATTAGAATGCCTACCTGGTGGAAATCAACAGCTTCTTCAAGACGAGATCGCCGAGCAGCCGAGAGATCAAGCAGATGCTGCCACATCCCAAGAGTATTGGCCAGACGCTCCTGGATGCGTTCCGCTCCAAAGTGTCCTTGGCGCACAAGTTCATCGCCCACAGAGACAACACTCATCAACTGCGGTTCATGGCTTTGGATTTCAGTTTCGAGAGCTTTGTGTTTGGATAGGAGCAAGTTGACTGTTGTCAGGTCATGACCGATGTCACCTGCCGATACAATCTGTTCCTTCTCCTTGATCCAATTCTCTTCGTCAGCCATATCCCAGTAGAACTGCCACAGTTTGCGGCTTTCTTCCAATCTGGCTCTACGTTCAACAGCCAATTTGACGAGTTCGGCATAGGCATCCTCGAGCTGTTGGACGCGTTCGACAATTATTGTCGGATCACATGGCCGGTAGCCTTCTGTTGTTTCCTGATCGAGGAACCTCTGCGATTGCTGAACAACAGATTTGACTCGTTCACCGAGCACGTTGATGTCAGCTTCCACCAAATTGTGCTTCTGAAGTAAATCTTCCACTCCCATAAGATGTTTGCCATAATCGTCGGATAAGAGTCGAATTTTGAGTTCTTCCATGGAGTCAAGAATATACAACATTTCTTGGAAGTTCTGCTGCAATTGCAGAGATAGCTCGAGGCGTAATCGCCGTGCTCTAAGTAGCTCCAACAAGTAGTTCCACAACCTGAGAACATTATCTTTGCGGGCATTGATCTTTTCAATATCATGATAGTTTTCAGCCTCCAGTTCTTGACTGACGGTGCACACAGCTTGGACACGCTCCTCGTATGCGAATATATCAGTTTCAATTGCTTCATGCTTTTTGGCAGCAGCTTCCACTGCAGTAAGGTCAAATCCGAAGTTGTCTTGGGACACAAGTCGCTGATTCTCACTCAGCCATGTCTCCCTCATGCTAGCCTTTCGGTTGAAACGTGCAGCTAATTGCTCCAGTTTTTCTTGCCTGATGAGTTCCTCTCTCAAAGCCAATTCCCTGCAAGAACAAATTAAAATTAGTTTTTTTAGAACCAAGAGATTCCACCAGACCCAGAGAGATTTTAAAGTTTGTTCTGCGACAAAACTTTTCAAAAATTCTGATAGTGCATACAATATGGGGCTACATTCATTTTTGATGAAGGAGACAATTGAGCTACTCCTTGGATTTAGGGGTGTTCAAACGAATTCTTGCCGGAACACTATCGATATCGTCTCTTACCAAAACTGGCGGCAGTACCGACAGTGGCGATGATATCGTTAACAGCCGGCCTTATCGGATTTTAGAGAGCTCGCACTCAATGCATTGTTGCCCGGTGTGTTGGTTTATCAGATTGCCTGGTGCGGCGGCGCGTAAAATAGATGTACAAATGGCAACAGCTTATTTTCGTCAACTCCGAAAACTCTGATCGCTATCGGCGAGAGCGCTCTTATCGTAACTTTTTCTTGACGGAACTGTTTCGGTAGCTCACCAACAACCAATAGAACAGACCTACTTTGATTTGGAAACTGAAAGCACATATTTTGTTTACAAAAAGGTCATCTTATTTGTCCATATAAGACTGGCAATTACACTTAAAAATCCATCCTTTTCTTTCAGAGTCAAATTAGAGATAATTATCCATTGAGAGTTTGAGACTCAAAATTTTTAGGAGAAGGTTAGTGACAAAGTAACATTGCATAACCTGTTATCGTACCCCTCTATTTTCCTTCTATTCTCCTGATTTATTTTCAATATTTCATAACTAAATGAAAATTTGCCATCTTACTTTAACTACATCTAATGACGATTAATTCTGCTAATAGTGAAAGTTAAGCTAAAGCTAATGCTGCCAAAAAATATCTAACAGATGAAAAGGAAAAGAAAAGAAAACCAAGACTAACCTTTCATGTTCTGCTTTCTCTAATCTTTCCCAAGCTTTGTTGATATCCGAAATCATTTTGCCTTCTTTTGGTGTGTAAGGCTTCTGGTTATTTGCTCGCATTTTTGATTGCAAAGTGAACAGTAAAATCTCTAGATTACCCTTTTCTACAAACCTGAAAAAAGAGTAAATAAAAACGTACATTAGGATACAATATCATAGATTGCAGAGCTTGAGCCTTTGATCAAGATCAGAGTCAACAGACAGGTTTTTTAATTGCCTCGCATTCTCTGATGCTAGGAACATTACTTGTTGCTGCACTGATATTATTATTTGTTAAAGCTCTTGTTTTTCGGGAAAAACCTTTGAAGTAGCATATTTTCAGATTTTACAGCTAGAGAGAGAGAGATATGGATAGATAATCTGCTCAGCACAGAATATTGAATTTGGTTTAAAATTAAAAATCCTCATGATAAAGCGGAAAGATTTACAGCATACAATTTTTCCTTGGAAAAAAATGCTGTTTAATGCAATGACGATGATCATGACCAATCAGGAACAACACTATTTCTTCATCTGAAAGGCTTATGCATCCAAATACCAATTATTTGCGTTAAAACTATGGCATTCTTCAAATTACACATGAATCTTCTATTTTCTCCTAGACAGTCAAAATACATGAATTTCTACTCCCTACTAAGAGAGTTCAACTTCAAGAAGGAAAGGGACCCAACTTACTTGGGTGGTTTTTCAACCGTACGATAATTATTGAACTGTAACAGCTGTTGCTGAACACCGACTAGAGAGTTGGCAAATTCTCGGTCGCCAAGATTATCGATAGTGTTTTCGATCCACTTCAAGAGATCGCTCGTGAGTCCTTCGTATTCGTCGATCATGCGCTCGTTGTCCATGGCTATGCCGACCACTTTTCCTATACGTTTTCCCTGGACAGTTTCTTGTTTCATCTTGCTAAAGTAATGATAATAAGTTACTACGTAGGTGATAATTGATTTCTCGTCAGGTTGCTCAACAAAAACATCTGTAACAAATTTAGAGTCATATTTTAATAATTGTACAAAACAAGTGCAGGCATCTTGCTTCAAATGATGTACATATTTCATTAGCTACTCAGTGTCATTTATTCAGAGATTTCATAGAAAATGAAAGTTTTTATTTGGAGTGTGCCTGTCACGGGCCCTGAAGTCTCCGTAACTTTTTTTTTCTTAGATCCCGATACTTTTCCTATTTTCATTAGCGAGTGCTGGATTGAGCATTTCAACATCAAAACCTTTAAAATTCAGTTCAATCTTTCCGTCCATCACATTTCAGTAATGACTAGACTTGCAGCTGATAGCTGCACTGATTATAGCCAGCCAATCACGCGCAGACTAGTTGTCTCACCACCTGTGACATCACCAAGTTTATAAAAGCGTGAGCTGCACCTTTTTTATAGTCTTCCTCCATTTTGACTCATGCCTAGCATGTGTACCATATCTGCCTTTCCGGCATCTCAAGTGTGACTACCCTTTGTAACTTGTGAATCTGAAATCTCAATACAGTGCAAACCTTTAGGCCCTTCAATCTTTCATTTTTACTTTCGCTCTCCCAGCACTCCCACTTGATCACTATTTCATCTCTTCAGTGACAAGAAGACTATCCCTTGCCACACATATTCTTGTGACAGTGCCTTTTAAAATCTGCAAAATTATTAAAAGTACAGAGATCTACAGATATTACTTTAATAAAACTAAGTTTTTTGTTAGTTCGCTATGTTTGCTATGTAATAAACATAAATTTTCCATGGATATTAAAATGTCATTGTGCTTAACAAGATTTGATTGTGGCATGGCTACAATCAAGTGATTAAGTATTGATCATTCATGAATATATTTTGTCTCCAAATTTCTTGATAACGCCAACATCGCTCTCTTAAATCCAGCTCCGCTCAATTTTCTATACAAGACAAGATTTAAGATTCTGTTCAAATTTTAGAAAAAGGCAACAAGATGATGGACCTCAAAATTGACAGAAAAAGGATGAGTGAAAATCACTCATTATAACCTGGATGGGATTGGCAACAGAGGTTGGCACTTACATGACGAAGCAGGATGAGAAGGATGAAAGTTTAGCCATTGTCTTAAAAATAAACTTCCCTCGAATTGTGTAAAACCTTCGTAGATTAATCACTTCCTTAGATGGTTTAGAATCTACTCTTTTAGAATATAAGAGCACTATAATCTAACATGGATTATATTTTAACAAACTAAACCTTGTGACTAAAGAAATTTGTACTTTGAACTTTAACCTTTGTCAAAAAACGATCTGGAGAGGGGATGATTATCTTACCTTCAGCATCTAAAAGTTTAGTTAAACCTAATTTATCTTCAGCCACATCAAAGGCATTGTTTAAGTTGTACATGGCATTAGATTTGGAAAGCTTCTCGAATTGGATTAGGTCTGGTCGATGTTTGTGGATGATGGCATTGAATGCGAGACCATCACGCCAGGATGTTGTGAAGTTACGAACATTTACATGGTGGTAGCCAGCTGTCTTCATTTGACACCAGAGCAGCAGTGCATCTTTGGCTGATTTTGTTTCTTGGTTATCTGTTTCCTCGATTGTGATGTCTTGAATCTGTGAAAGGCAATAATACGGTTGTTTTAGGGCATCGTCGAAAACAATGGTGAATTTTCATGCAGAGAGAAATAAAAAATGTAAAAAAGAGATAAAAACCTACTAAAGCATACAATGATTTGATAGTTGATTTATTTTTCCTGCACTCGATTAGAGTTAATTTTATTTACTAAACTGAGAGTTACAAACACAAACACACAGGATAAAAGATCAAATATTTGTTAACAAAAATAAAATTATCCTTTGATTTTTTTGAGAGAAATTTTGGATTGGATGAATACATAAAACCATGGATAAATGAATATTCAGAGCTTATTTTAAACTTTACTATATGAACGTGAATTTTGCGCTGCAAAGCTGAATATTTTGTTTGCGTCTTCATGCTCCAAAGTGTGGTCTAGGAAAACAATATAAGTGTTACTGAATTCTTCATTCGTCATGCTTTCTACTAGCCTTACAAGTGGACGATGTATAATACTATGGAGAATATTGCACTTGGAAAAGCCTTCTTATCATTTTTACAAGGAGTCAAGAAAATTTCTTCAGCAAAAAACTAAAAAGAATTTTCTTTAAAACGCATTCATAAACAAAGAGCTTTGATAGTTAATAATACAATGGTTAAATCATCATACATTAAACTCTAAACTCTTTACTATCTCAACTATAGGAAAACAAGTGTGTCAAGTTTATAATATTATAACATAATAATGACTCAAAAATGCTGAGGAGCTTGCCTGGAATCGAAGAATAATGGTCCAAATGAGACCCAACGAGAGGCGAGGGTTTCCATCTACTATGTCATGAGATCCCATGTTTTCCAAATGTACTCGCTGTTCTCTGAGAAACTGTAATGCTTTGTCTACGTTTTCTAAACAATGTATCCTCATTTTGCCTTTTGTTGGCCTTGGCTGAAAAACAAAACAAAAACATTATCAATTAAGTAATATTTACAATAGTGAGGCGCAGTGAGTGTAGAAGGAGACCTCCTATACTCTCTTGTGAGGCGTGACTTACTGCAAGTGCACGCCCGAATCTTTCACCAAATTTCAATGGTGGCTTGAGGATTAACCGACTCAAATACTACTCTAAACGCACGCAGGGGATTGTAGGTATAATTTCCAGACTTGATTAAAAAACACGCGTGGCATGAAAGTAAAAATTCCGAACCTTCTTGCAGAATTTCCGCCCTTTCTCAATATTTCCGGACCACCCTTAAAAAATCAGTGCTATTTCCGGACTTGTATACACCCTGCAGAACTTTCCATTACAGATAAATTCCATCCGCTAGGTGATATCCAAATGCAAATTAACTTTCGATCATCAGAAAAGTCCTCATTTCCATTGATTCGAGGTTTGATTTGATCGACTGGTATCCAAAACCAATCCTCGACCGAATATTTCCCCCAACTTTCGCGGCGGAGTCGATTTTCGTGAAAGCGCGCCTGCGCGTGGGAACAAGTCGGAATAATAATTCGATGCGCTCGGCTGCATGCGCTGGGCCGTCACGTCGCGTAACCTAAATTGATAATTATTACGCACGGACAGAGGCGTGAAGATGACAGAACGGGACGAACGGAGCCGAGTGCGAGGAGTAGGATGGCGAGAGATGAAAGCTCTGCGGATACGAGTCCAGTTCAAAATGCAAGTTTTCCAACCGCGACTTTAGATGGCTACACTTCGTTACACTGAAAAAGGAAGGCCTGGTCCCAAGAACCGAATTTCCAGTGTTCGACACCGCCCGCCCCTGAGAGGGGTGCCAGAAGTTCTTGAAGCAAAAATTATTTACTCAGCTTCAAAATGTTTTCACTCTTGAGAAATTCCCTCACGCCGTGAAAACGTCAGATATGCGCGCTGGGTAAAGCTTAAAAAAAAAAAAAAAAAAAAAAAAAAAAAAAAAAAGGCCTTTTATGGATTTTTTCTCTGGCTTTTTTAAAAAAAATGTCGAAAATTTTCTTCAGCCTCCTGCGGCCGCGATAATTTTTTTCACCCCTTTACCTACCGCTGTACTTGATTCAAAAGACAGCATTTTCGGACGGAAGAAACTGAAGATCGAGGTCTAATTACACACGCCATAAGTTCGGTTACGCATGTCAAAGTTGTTCGACGAAATAAACAGTTCGGGCAATATTGACTATAAATAGTTAATTTCCTTTATTAGTGTAACGTTATATCGTGCATCGACCTCCAGGTAAAATTTAGCGACAATTCATGAAAAATTTCAAGTTGTTGCAATGCAGATACATACACGAGTTTTCTGACTGAGGTCATCGTGCACTCATCTGCATGTAATTTTAACATTAATCTGATGAAAATCGATTGCCGCTTTGATGAACTGACTGTCCGATTTAAAATAAAATTGATTTGTCCCACTCCTTCGTGCGTGATTTCCGGATACTAAGCGGCACGGCGGGTCAAGTGAGACGCGAAAGATCCTTGCTACGGATTCGGAACTAACTTGTCAAAATGTGTCGTGACGCTCAAATTTCTCGGTACCTGAATGTGCATATCGATGGCTAGAGTGCAAAACCACGTATCTCCATTGCGGTGTTTAAAGATCTCTGCTTTTATTTTATTTTTTAGAGAAGAAATCGGTCAACAATACTCACATATAGCTTCACATTTGTACAGAATATTCGGCGAAGAGAGGCGAAAAATCAAGGAAGTTTTCGGGACGTTAACTCGACTAATTTTCCAAAGAAAAATTAAAGTAGGTATAACAGGAAGTCTACTACATTGCAAACTGAAATACGTAATTTCGCACTTCAGCCATTGATGTTTTCATTGAACTTCTGCCTATGTTTTTACGAATGCTTTTTGGACTTAAAAAATTCTTCTACTAGTTCATTCCATTTGAATTGTGTGAAATTTAGGCATTTAGTTTCCTGAAAATTCGGGTTGAACTTTACAAGGGTTGCTTAACTCGCTACTATTAACAGACGTCGGTTCGACGATGCTTTGACGTCACCGAGCAAAAATTAATTTTGGAAGGAGAGAAAGCTCTTTAAGCGTAAGTCAGGGGATCATTTCCTACTGAGAATCTCCCGCTCACGCAATAAAATACGCCAGAAACATTAGAACTTTCGCAAAATTCGGAGAACTCCGTAAAACTTGAATTAGTATTTCTAGTACAACAGGTCTTCTAAGGGGTCGATATGTCTGGAGTTACTTTAGCTCATTAATTAATCGACAAACCCAGTGCAAAGACTCACAAGACCACGTCTATGATCCAAGCTTTTTGTTCAACTTTTACTTTTTATGGAGGAACCGTCTACCATAACTGCTCGAGATTCCCGAAAAAAATACAAACCCAATGAAATGAAATCATTGCAATTTCTTTAGACGACAAATATGGACGGAACGGGTAATTTCTTCGCGGGAAGGGGGGAGGGGGTACAAAAGAGAACCTTAACCAAGAAGGTCTGGGAGCAGGAGCACGGAAAGGCACTACACCAACTTGGGTTGGGGGCCGACGGGAAACTTAGAAAAATTGCACCGTGTTAAGCAGAGAGGAACCAAGCCACATAAGCTAAATTGAATTGGACAGTTTGATTTTTTTTACATGAAAACGGTAGTCCAGATTTTTGTGCAAATTTCAGTGATTTTTCTACTTAGCGCGAAGAAAATTCCTTAAAATTTTCCAAGAAATCCGCACAAACGTTCTCTTGTAAAAAATTGAATTGCCCAGTTAAATTTGCAGAGACTCGTGTGACTTGGTTCCATTCCCGCTAAACGCGGTCCAATTGAACCGATCATTCTCCAAATCACGTAAGTGCCAATCTCTATTTTGGTGGTAGAGGGGTTGTTTTTCCTATGTTTTCTCTGGTACACTCAATCATGTCTGATTTCAAAGTAGCCTTCTAAAACAACATACTTTCTTTGGAATTCGAAGATTGTCAACGAGCGAATAAAACGGGGTTTCTTGATTTTCTCGTATTCGCTATTTTGGTGCTTGCATGATCTGGGAAATAATCGGTTCAATTCGAAGCTGTCTCCGTCGGAAAGTGGACTGAGATACAATTTTGACGATGAAAGAGACGTCTCGCACTGAATTCGCAAAATTCTCTATATTCTCTCAACTAGACTAAGGAATGGGAATATTTCTGGGGACCCCCTGCTCCGCCCGTGACGGCTAATGAATTAACGAGGACATTACATTCCGCGGCACTGCAATGCTAATGAGTGTTTTCGAACTTAAATCATCGATGTCGTGTGTGATTTCGTCATCGAGTCGGCTGCTAGCATGAAGCCGAATGAAGGTCGTCACGAATAACGTCGGGAAATGAGAAATGACCAAAGGTGACTTACCAGTCTTTCACCCGACAGAACTTCTAATAATTTGATGAGCATTTTTCCGTCCCGGAGATCGAGGTAGAGGTCCCCGATCCGGGAGTTGACACGCACCAGGTGTGAGTTGACCCATTTCTGGAAAGTTTTCTTCTGCACGCTTTCTCGTTCATCTGCGAACAAACAAACACTCTCGGTTAGCTACAAATCACGAGTAAGTAGGCACGCCATTCGGCTCGCTTGCATCCTATCCACATGCACAATACATGCCGCTCGCAGGTTGGTTTTCAGGGGAAAAAACGGGTCCTACTCCACCAGAACCGCTTTGCGAGGGAAAAGTACACGGTTATGAACACTGAAAAAAAGTTACGGGCAATATAAACATACACTGAAAAAAAATTCTCGGCGTTTTTACCAAGGTCCGTTGGTGCCTTTACCATCTCACTGTTTTAACCAATTATTGGTAATTTCACCAAGACAGACTGGTAAACTTACCTAAAAACCGATATTTTTACTGTTTTTTTCAGGTAAGAATACCACTTTTATTGGTAATCAATTCCCGGTAACTTTGCCATTTTATCTCGTTAATTCTACCATGGTCGATAAAAAATATTGGCGTTTTTACCAAGGTCCAGTAAAATTACCGAGAAAGTTCAATAATTTTACCGAGATTGCTCGGTAAAATTACCAATTCCATAAATGGTAATTTTACCAAGAAAAAACTGGGATCAAATAGAACCCTGAATTCTTGGTAATTTTACCCTTTTCGTAGTAAATATACCGAGATTTTTTTTTTTTCAGTGCAAGAAAAAGCGGGTTCTACCACTCCACCAGAACCGCTTTGCGAGGGAAAAATACACGGTCATGAACACTGAAAAAAAGTTACGGGCAATATGAACATACCGTCCGTTCCGGTCTCAGAGGCCGAAGTTCCGGTTGCTGGAGCTGTAGCTTCGATTTCTCCGGGTGCTACGCATGGAACTTTCGGCCTCTGAGCCCGGAGCGCGGACGGTATACATTTACGTGGCCTGTAAGTGCGGCTCCCACGGCCGGAGTTTTTTTTCCAGGGTGTCTGATACGGTCATGTTCACAGGATGACGGAAGAGAGGCTGCCAGAGAAGCCAAAGAAGCTGCCTTGTCCTCCAGGCCCCTCATTTAGACTTTGCAGCCTTTTTAAAATTTAATGAGAAAAAAATTGTGCGGAGCTACGAGACAGGCAGAGCGCTCCTTAACCCCTGCTCTGAAGGCCGTCCATGAAAATGACGTTGGTTGGGCACCTGGGGACTGAGATCGCCCTTGACATTCCACGTGAAGTTTCGATGAAATTTTAAAAGGTTTCATAAATTCCATGAAAAATAGCCTTACATTTCAATGTTTCGTGGAAATTTCACATGATATTCTCTACTCAACATCGTTGCATCGGTATCGCGCCAACAAAATCAGCGATGCACCTACTTGATGTTTTCTATGTCCAGTTTATTATCCTTTTAGAGAGCTTTGGTTCCTCTGAAAAGCTCGCAAGGGCAGAAAATGACTCATTCAGCACCACCACCACCATCATCAGACTATTTATACGGCATTTGTTTCCAAGAATGAAAGGCCACGCCCTTTGCAACGGTGCGACCGACAAACCGCTTGGCGGCAGGTCAGTCGGTGGCTTCTTCGTAAAAAAACTATTTTCCTCTTTTTTCCCCACTTTTAAACGGCACATTTTAAAGATACCGCAACGGCTTATCGCCTCTTATCGCACCGTGAGTAAAAAAAACAAGGCTGCTCATTTCACAGCACACTCGAGAAAAATTCTAAACACAGCATTTTGACGTGAACCCTCCACTCCTTAAGAGCTAATATTCGCTGTGGTTCATGCTGAGTGCGCCCTAACAATCTCGGTTCAAATGGTGATGCATCGTGGCATCACTGACACAGTCCGACAGAAATGCCCTAATTAATACATCTCGGTGAATTGAAGATAAATAATTGTAATAAACAAAAAATTCGACTTCCGTCTTTGTCAGTGATTTTGACTTGCGCTTACTGACACACTGAGGAATTTCAGGCTTATCGGACTGTTCGATGCGTTATCTGTTTCATTCGAAACAACATGTTAGTCGTCACGCACGTCTTTCTTTCGTTATGATGAAAGGACGGTATGTTGCATTTGGTCAACATGATTTAAAAAAAGGCATTTTAGTAAAAATCAATAATCTTACTTTCTTGACCAATGGACGGGTGTCGTTGAAGGCGAAAATTGGCCCTCTTGGGGTTTCTGTAACTCAGGAATTTTGGCAGTTTAAGGTTTAGATTGATCCAATCCAAGGTTTAGGTGCATCCAATCTTAAATCATGAAACTGGCCTCCTCCAGTTTTTGTCAGAATAAATTAAACAGTAATGCGAAGAGTATCTCGCAAAATATCATAGGTAAACCGCATGTAAAAGAGATGTTTTGTTTGCGGGTTTCAAATAGTTTAGATGTGGCTCACCTCAAGGTCGGATATCTACTTCCAACTTCCGCAGCGCGCAACGTAAACGAGCACGAGTTTAGAATTCTCGCGTATCGTCCGAAACGAGATGATCTAAATATATTTTGGAAAATACTGCGAAAAAGCGTTACTTCCCTCTCCCTTTCAACAGTGAGAGTTTTTTTCAACAGCGTCGTACATTTAATATGCTTCATCGAGGATCAATTGCCTTGTGGGTTAAGAGACAATCCTATTAATGAAATAATTACAGCAAAACTGAAAACTTTCTTTCCCACTGGGTAGGGGGGTAGGGGGGAACCTCCCCTTCCCTGATAGAAATGCGGTTTGGGCATCCAAGCGTTACCACGTTTTTCTTAATAAAATGACAATTTTTTTTTTTTTTTGGAGGAATTGTAGGAGATAATTTCCTTTAAGTTTTAGAAATAATTTTATTCGGACTTTAAAGTAGTACGTTCCTAAGTATCGAGGAAAAAATTCATAACTTCTGCGATAAATAAATATTTTAGCGGGTAAAATTTAGCAACACTACACGGAAAAAACAAGACTAGTGTTGAGCACTACTGGCCGTTTAGTGGGGAGTAGTTGAGGGCCGGCGTCTAAGCGCTGCACAGCTCAACACCGGAAGGCAGTACAGGTGGGCACTGAACATCAGTAGTGCCAATCAGATGCCGCGAGACGCAGTTGCGCTTAACAGGTGTAAATTCACCTATGATACGTCGGAGTCATCATAGCCTGGTGGTAACGCGCTGGTCTTCCACCGGCGCACGGTGGATCGAAACCTGCAAAAAGTCGGACATGGGCGATTCTCACAAATAGTCATTTCATTGATGTAAATGTCTTTCCAAAGAGTTATATTTTATGATACAGGTATTGGTTTTCAATTTTTTAACCCCAGTTTAACGCACACAGCCTCCTAAAGTGGCTCAGGCGGCACTCGAAACATGTTGCCTCACTCGGGACAAACCGTGCGCCTGTTGGTATTTCCCTCCGATAGATTTATGACAATTTCTGACTAAAGTAGCTTGTTCTCCTCTTTAAGTAGAATATATTTCACTAATAACAAGTTAAGATATCGCTATTTTTATAAGCGGTATTCTTGCTTAAAAGTACCCTCCTCAATACCGTAAAAATAATAATATAGCTAGACTTTTAACTAGCTATTTCAGCGTATTTCAGGGAAACCTTTGTATAGCAGTGTTAACTGATCCCTGAAGATTCATTATCAAGAAAAATTGGCTGCTCCAAAGTGCCCTTTTGGGAATAAAGCTTAAATGATTTTGAAAAAGTGAAGTTCATAAAACACGGAAAAAACAAGACTAGTGTTGAGCACTACTGGCCGTTTAGTGGGGAGTAGTTGAGGGCTGGCGTCTAAGCGCTGTACAGCTCAACACCGGAAGGCAGTTCAGGTGGGCACTGAACATGAGTAGTGCTAATCAGATGCCGCGAGACGTAGTTGCGCTTAACCATGGCTTAACAGGTGTAAATTCACCCATGAAACGTCGGAGTCACGATAGCCTGGTGGTAACGCGCTGGTCTTCCACCGGCGCAACCCGAGTTCGATCCCGGGCGGAGGCGTTTCATATTTTACGCTCGCTCCAAAGTCACTTTAGGGCTTGACACTACTTCTTCCTTAGTGACCCAGCCTCGAGCTGTTTAGTGCCCAGCACTCCTCTGACTTGCTGGCTCCATTTGATCTAACCCTCGTTAGTGCCCAGCACTAACATGTAGGTCCCAACCCTAAGCTCGTTTTTTCCGTGAATGGTGGCTCGAGAGAATTCGAATTTCACAGGTCTGTGGCGAATAAACACCGGGCATTTGATAGGTGATTTGTATGTAATTTTTAGTGCTGAGTCCGAAAATGACCTTGGTTTTTCTCCAACACCCACCGATTTTCCGGAAAATTGAGATTTTCCACTTAAAATGGACTTTTCGGGAAATGTGATTTTCCGGAAAACTGGTGCATGGTAAAGAGAAACCAAGGTCATTTTCGAACCCAGGAGACAAAAATACATGAGAAAACATGCCTTGCGTGGTTAAAAAAATGTCTTCGTTGTTTCAGATAACGGGGTTTTCCTCTCAAATGTCCTAATCGACGCATATGATACTGATCCGTTTGTTTTGCGTCTGAAAAGACGGGACAATTATATCAAGTTGGGGTCTAATGGAGCATTTTTCATCTACTATTTGATTCTAAAGTCAACAATGGCCTAAATTCTTTTCTATCTTCTAACTGTTTCCCAAAAACTCGTGTTTTTTGACATCGGATTTTTTTTTTTTTTTTTTTTATGTTTAATTTCTTCGGAAAATTAGAAGTTAATAGAGAAAATTGAGGTAATTCGAGCTTCAGCAGCAATCATTAAGCCGAAGAAGCTCCATTAGATACCTAAGTATAAATAAAGGCAGTGTACAATGGTGACTCGCGGGGCCCTTAATTAGGAAGGCTCGGATAATACATGATTTTTTGTGTTGATTGATGTGTATTTGATTAGTATTGTTCTCTCATATTTTTCCCCCTTGTCATTTTCTTTTGTTAGAAAGCTAAAAAGGTGCCCCAGGAATGAAGGGGAAAGGAGATCCTCTGTTTTCCTCTCAACATTTTCGGATTTCTATCAATTCATTTTTTGGGGGAGAGGAGGGGAAATGGTAAAAGAGATGAGTAATATACGTTTTATATACGATATTTAAACATTTTA